AATGCAAGCACTACCAAGTGTGCGTGTGCGTAGGTGCATCAACACGGCACCTTTTACTGTCTTGGACAACTTTCCTCTTACTTTAAATTAGCATCAAATGTTGACTAAACTCTATCCAGCTTGCGAATTTAAAGCTTATCTTGAAGCTGCAGAAATTTCTCGTCAAGTTTCGAAACCATCTGGGGGAAGTGTGACAGCAGGAAGATATTTAGTCCTTGTTCCTGAAGAATTACTTAATACTGTGCACCGAAACAGTTTGAGATTAGCGTAACTCTGACAGGAATGATGAAAAGTTTGCACGCACCCACATCAATTTGGAAGGTAGTGATGGAGCCTCACTAAATAAGTCTCAACCACATGACATGTAATAACTGGTGGCTATAAGCCCCAAATACTAACTATTCGTTCCTCATCGCATTCGCGTTATTTAAAAGCAAAGTACTTGTGATAAAGTCCCTTTTTTATTGTAACTTTCATCAAACGACCAAACTTACCACTAGTTATCCCCAGACCATCCGCTCACTGTCCATTGCACCCTTCTAAGGCACGCACCATACCATCTCCACAAGACTCCTTATTGTTTGTATCTATCTCTGTTTGTGTGTGTGTGTGTATGTGTGGGTGGATGTGTGGTGGTAGTGGTCGACTACAGACACTATCTTTTACTTGCAGAATATAAAACACGACTGACATCTATGCACTTGATACGACATACACAGTCAGGACGGGGCAATCCATCGAAAGAAAGTCCTCTTCTCATCCCTACTCCTATCCGCGTAAGACACTCGAATATCCCACATCGCATAGCGCAATGTTAGCGCAACCGCGCGTGGGTTTGCTCTTCCTCATGGAAGGGAGGTGCCAATTCACCCCCATCCTCACTCTACCTCTTCCCCTCACAGCATCCCTCCGAGTGGCTTGCACCACCTTTTCCCTGCCTTAAACCATAACACTTGAGATCAAAGTTAGCAATTGGGAGAAAAAACTGAATGGACTCAGATGTGCTCAGAACCCGGTTCGTTGTCCCTCCCGAAAACTAACACTTCGCATAAATTCAAATTCGCAGCAAGCCCGCATTGCACTCGACAAGGACCACAAAATGTTATGGTGGCTATTTTAAAAAGTAAAATGCATGTAGAGGCTTACTGCAGTAGTTAAGTTTTTACCATATAGTGTTCCACAACCTATTTTTCTCATTATACCTCCGTAGGCGAACAAAAGGCCTTATTTTGGGGTAAATTAATCAAAAATTACCAACTGTTTTAATTCTACTGGTGTAAGCATGGTCCATAAAACACAAACCCGATATACCAGTTATTGAAATCAACTTTGATCTGGATCCTCAAATCCAAAACAATCGACTTCTTTAAGCACCATGTCCCACTGTAATCGTCCGTCTTCTTTATAGCATTTCACCACCCAGGGCTTTTTAGACCTCCGCAATGGACATCTTCAATGTAACAATTTCGAGGGTAACTCAAATGTTTCAAAAGTACCCCATCATTCCAGGATGGGTGCTTACAAGCGAGAATTCTGTCTGCCAAATTCATACACGGAAACCACTGAAGCCATTCACATCAAAAGACCGGCATCTGACCTACTCACCCAAATATTAAATTTGAGTTATTTTAAATCAAAGGAAAATCCGTAAGCATTGGATTTCCTTTTAATTAATTAATGAAATGTAAACATTATCCACTAATGCTTAGACCAGATATGAAATGAGTAGATTCTCCCATCGAGCAGACATTACCACGTTTAAGAGTGCAAGGGATCTGACATTGGATTTGGGCTAAGTTTTATCTCAGCCATTCCAAACGTATCTCGACCTGTGTTTATCTCTCGAGTTTGTTGAAAAACCATGACGAAGTATGGGATTTCCCGGTCTCTGAGTAAAAATTTGACATTAATCGTGAATGGTGTCCCAATAAATTGTTTGGCTAGCCCTCGAACTAAGCTGAGCAATGATGACAACACGCTAACTGTCAATAAGGTTCGACGTATCTATCACTTAAAGATCACACAACTATTTGAAAATCCTGCCAGAATGAAGTCTTGGAAGAAAGACTTCCATTTAATGTAACAGCATGGAGACAAATCAAACCAATGTACAAAATCGTCACATGAAATTAGAAGATAGAAGGTGCCCAGCGGAGTGGCTCTGTGAAGATGGACGCAATGGAGAAATAGTTTAAAACCGAATTTTAAACAAGAGGAAGCAACGTGATGCTCTGACCGACAGACTAAAAGTGGGTAGACACCCCCTACAAATTGGTGGATGGAATTATAGAGGTTTGAAATTCAGCGGTCAGTCAATCAGACACCAGTCGAATACAAACGATGGGGGATGGGCTCTACAACTCCGTCAATCACCACACTCACTCCTGGAATCAGACCACATCTTGAAATCTAATAAAATTACTCTAATCAAACAGAAAATTTTTAGTTACAAGGCTGCATCAGGCATAGTTTAGGTGATTAGTACAGATAAATTTCATCGATTCTTGTTGGCCCTTAATGGAACAATTTAGAGTTACAAATAATCCAGATGTGGAGATCATGGGTCTGTGGAGCAAAATTTGAAAAGGTATGATCGGAAATAAGCTTTGTGCGATAAGTGCTTTTTCACGGCTCAGTTTCGGTAAAGGAGCCCCTTCAGATCTCCGCCATTGTACTTTTACCGGGAGGTCTGTCCTCTTAGGCCCATGCCAGTAGCCCCAAATCCCTTCTCTAGGTCGACATTGCATACGTTGTCCGAGTATTTTGGCCACTTTCGCCTTCTGTGAAGTCGCAAAGCGTTACAAAACTATCATCTGATTATAAAATGCCTTCACTAGGTTTAAATGCCATACTTCTGAAAGTGCCGCATAAACGCCACCTTGTGAATCCTCATAGACCCGTTAGACCTGTTGACGTGAGTATTCACGCCTTGTAGCATGTTCCATGAATCGACTTTTGCATAAATTGTAATTAAGAAAATGTCAAATTCACACACTATCAGTTTCACCGAAACACATCACGACACGCTGTCTATGCGGCAAGTCAACTGACCATTCGTCCCCTACATGAAGCCATGGTTTTTAGTAAATAATTATTAACTTAAAGGAGGAAGGAAAATGTACTTCAAATGTCGAACAAATTCTTGCCAAAAGTTCATTTAACTGCATCAGTTACCCAACATTGATGGGAAATACACTTAAATTAAATTTTCAGTGTGCTGAGATATGTTTGATTGAAGAAAAGACAAAAGCGTCAACATCAATAAGTCAAAGTGCAATGAAAATGGGTCAACTGGACTTTTGAAACTAACCAAATAGCGCCTCACGCAGTAAAAAAGAGATAGCCATAAAAGTACGTCCTTTAAAAAGTCTCTCAGTCAAAAGGCTTTTTTTATCTCCAAATCCCGTGAGTCATCTGCACCATCTGAACTTTTTTAAAATAAACTGTCAAAATGATCTCTCTCTATACATACATATATCTCTATCTCGCCCACCTCCCAGCCATCCTGTACTACTAGCAGTTCAACCAGTTTCGACTAGATGCCAGAGGGACAGACAAAGCTCAACTCACCACAAAAGGCTCTCGGTCATCATTCCGGGGTTCTACGAGAGCAGCAAGGAAGCATCTGAAGCAGAGAGAGGAAGCAGAGCCCAAGCAGGTGCCGCTGGGGATGAAGACGGAGGCGGACAGTACACCCCTGCGATGAGCACGAGCCATTTTCTGTGTGTGAATCAATCGCCTCAACTCGGCATCGTCAGCACGGCCACTACCACCGACCAATAAACCGCTGGCTCACGGGTGGCCACGCCGGCGGCGAAAACAAGTGCGGGCTCCGGGGAAGAACCAATCAATGTAGGAGCGCCGGCGAGGAGAGAGTTAGGGGTTGTTTTGGGTCCAATCCGAGTCGATTAAAAGGTGGTTAACAGGGTATTCAACTAGCTCACTCTTAATGAACGCGAGTGGTACACAGCAGTAGGTGTTGTCGGACGTGTGTGCATCTAAGGCGCCCAAGGTATTGCTTAATGTGGCACATGGCATAAGTGGAATCCCATACTACCATCGCGATAAACAAGCGGCGGAGGTTGAAAAGCTCAGTTAGTTAAATAATCCATTAAAACTAACATCCGTTAAGGCGCTTTCTAGTCTCTCCTACTTTGTCAGTCGCGAGTTTTTTATTGGATTGGAATCACTAGCGAGAAAGGAACAAAGGTAATGTGGTAAATTAGCATCAAAGCATGAAGACACTATATCAGTTGATTTATATCAGTTTACATCGTAAAGTTAGGCGCGATTCCTAAAAACTCCGTAACTGTCTGTAATAAGTATGACTTGTCATAACAACATCCACTTGAAAACAACAAGGATTATTGTGTCCTTTAATTGTGCCTATCAATCACTCTGTTCATAAAAATATCGTGAGTAGGTCTTTGAAGATCGGCGCTATTAATTTAAATCTGGTGTTGCTCCTGCTTGAGTCTAGGCAGATCACAGTTTCGGTCACGTACCACAGAGGCCCTACTTTGGTGACGCTTTAATATGGTTCCTGGCCAGCAATTGACATGATTACTCTTCTTCTGGAATATATTTATTGAAGGCACAAAGGCATTTCGTTGTAGGGCCAAACTATGGTATCCTACCACAGAAGTCAGCTCTAATACCAATGCTGGTAAGAGCTAGGAGACTAGTAGCGTGGAGGGCACAAAAACAGCTCGGCGAGAGAGCCAGAAAATGCATATGTTTTGCGTGTGTATGGTTAAAACAACAATCATTTTGCTAAACTTCACTGTAAGAGAAATTGAAAATGACCAACAGAAGTCGATGTCATCCGTCAAAATAGCCGACAAATGAAGAGGGAGATGAGAAATACTTGGAGATTCCCCATATTCTCCAATCTAATTACATGGGTTATACTTTCATCCAAATGTCCTACAGAGTACAATTAGCATGCGAATCGTGCCCTTAGCCGGCATTATCTTCTCAAAAAACAACTCTTAGGCCCCCCTTCCTTCTACATCTTGGCGATAGTGCCGTTAAGATGCTTTGACGGCTTATGACACCATCAAGGCTATTTGAGCTCTCTGTTCATTAAGATATCCAATTCTTTCTACCAACATAATCAGGACCTGTGGTTAAAAACCATGAGCAAAATGTAGCTCCACCTTGCGCTGATAGACAGTTCTCCGTCTGCTGTACTTTAGTCAAAGGTAAAAGGATGCTTCCTGACGGACAAACACGAAAACGGCAACTTTGAACGGTTTATTTCACAACTGTCTGGTAAGTGTACGAGAATAGCATGAATAAAATTACGTTTTTTTTGTAAAAGCAGTTTCTCAAAGGCCGTGTTGATAATTAAGGGAGAATATGCTACTTATTTAAAAGTTGCAGCAACTTGTGGTGTCTTCCTGGAGCAAATTGTCGTGTGTAATTCTTCGAACCACCCAAATCAACTGGCAAGCAAGAGTGCATTTCCCATAGGTACACTAAGAAAGTGGGCGGTAAAATGTCCCAAATTCTTTTCTTTTATTCCATTTGTACAATAAAATTCAAATGCTTCTCCAATCATTATCCCTACTTCTTGAATTAAGAAATTTTCAGAAAGGATCCAGTGATAACTTCATGCAGCGCTGATGCTTCCACATTCGTTCCTCATTTAAAACATAGTTGACAAATTGATCACCCACTTTCATAGCACAAAGCGAAGGGTCTCCTTCGCCCCCACCGCGTTCTATATGATCAAGAATCTGAAAGACATCACATTCTGTGTCGCCTCCGTTCAGGTCTTTCTCAACAAACACTTCGTTGATATATGAAATGGACAGATCATCATCATCATCATTACTCATCGAATGGATTTCGTTGTTTTTAGTATTGCCTACCACTACATCTGATCTCAGACCCTAGGATCTCAAAAAGTGTTTAGAGGAGGCAATTTTGTATCGTAATAAAGCGAGACTACAAACGACCAAAACCCCTTGGAGGACAGACAGTTTATTTCCATGAGGATGAATGATGTCCTCCTGGTGGCCAGATTGGCCAATCTGCCCATTTGCCATTAAAAAGTGTATTGGAACAATGATGTGCCATATTAAAAGGCATAATTGTGTCTCTCCGATACACGACTTTGCTCGGAGTGGAGCTGTAATACTTTGCTTTATTCTTTTTTTTTGGTTAAGTGGGTGCTCAAGGCCTAGCAATTTCGCTTCCAATGGCTAGCATGACCTTTAGGCCATTCCAGTAGCTCCTCAGCCCTTCTGTACTTCGAAAATACATTTTCTGTTCTAGAAATATGATTCCTTTCGACTTCAAGAAAGCTTTGGGGAGCTACATTGATGGCAGTGGCAAGCGGCCCCAAGGATGTGCCGATTTCTGCGCTCTCAGTCGACTTCGTAAAACATACTGTCGCGTCAGATGGGGTGGATGTTACCGAAGACCAGCGAATACCGTATAATACTGAAACACCATTTAATGCAAGTGAGGATCTGATAGGTAGAAATAGTAGAAGCGGACAGAGAAGACAGCATGCATATCGCCATACGGGATTTACAAATTTCAAAAAAATACCATATGGACTCTGTAATGCAGCTGCTACCTTCCATCAACTTCTGCGAAACCCACTAATAGGCTTATTCCTCAAAACATTGCAAAGTATACCTAGATGATATTTTCTTCTACGGTATGGATACTTGGGAGCATAACCCCAATCTGAGGTTAGTGTTGGACCGTCTACGAGACGTAGTTTGGCCCTGAACCCAGACGGTTATGGCTGGGTAGCACTAAGTGAGAAATCTTTCCCCACGAGGCTATTTAAAAACCCGTCCTTTATTAAATGGTTCTACTCTTAGTCCAGGATTCTTACGGCTGGCCATGAACATACATGATGGCTGCACACTCCCCCCTCACCCAATGCAGTTTTGAAGCAAGATGAAACTCAACATCTAGTAGAATTGCCAAGGGAGATCAGTGCCAGTGCAGTCAAATACCCTCTCAGTTGCACGCAAATTCGATGGTTGGCACGGTTGTTTTGCGGGTGCATTTCTTACCGCATCGACTGCGCTGTAATGGCCGACACGAAAGGTTGACCAAGGAACACTAATGTGGACACTGGAAAGAAGAGAGGGGCTGTGTAATGCTTTAATAGTTTGTGCAACCTTGCTTTGTGTTTAAGCGGGCACTTTAGGCTCAGCAAATGTACTACCACAGGGCTGCATGGCCTTGGAGCCATGCAAGTAGCCATTTAACCCTTCTGTGCGTCTGCAATGCATATTCTGCCTTCGTATTATGACTCAATTGGACATCAGAAAATACTCGGGACACTAGAGAAATATGCAGAAAGGATATCAGTAAAATTAACACAAAATAAGCGTAAAGAAGTTAAATAGTGTACAACGAAGTGGTGGTTTTTGTACTTCCTATTAAATGTAGAATTAAAAACAAATTTTGATGTGAAGAAGTGCTACGACACCTCAACCTTCCTGAGATTAGATGTCTTTGCTGCTCCCTGATGGTTTGGGCAAATGTCAAATTCCATCGGAAATTATTTCAGTTACTTTCCATTCAGAAAGCTCAGATTAGAGCATACCCTAGGCATACCTCGCCTTAATCCACCCATGATTACACGGAGAAGTTGAACTCCAAGGATAGTGGGGGCGATCGGGCATCAGAAAAGTTTTCTGCGCACATTGGCCAAGCAGATTATTATAGGCGATCATTTTATTGCCCGCCGGCCAAATGTCATAAACTCGTAACAACGGGTCTGCAAAGGTAGCCAGCCACGCGACCAGAGTCATTATTGCTTGGTGGACGAAGGTTTATTGCCTCTCCCGATTGGAAATCAACGTTTTCGACGTAGGTGAGCTATTAAGTGAAATGAAGGAATGGATGAATTAGTGAATGATTGGAGGCGTTAATAAATGAAGAACTAGTGGAATGCATGAGCAGGTAAGTCAGCTGTTTTGCCGTTGATCCTTGATGTCAAAGAATCAAAATTCCACAACAAGTACTCCAACGATCTCAATTTATTTACAGAATAGTTGTGGGACTCCACTGGATAGGAAGCGACTTATCTAATTACCAAATGCAGTTGCGGCGGGAAGTTTAGTTTGCATTTCCGTGGATGCCGCTCTGAGCCCTTATGCTATTCCACGCATTCCACCCAGAATCTCACCCTGAGTTGACACGTACTTCTCCGCTGCGACATCTTCAAAAATTTTGAGCTTGTTAGATGAGCAAATCCGGCAAGTGGACTATTCCCCCAATTGCAATAACAAAGTAGTTCCATCTTCCTCTTGCGGTTGGGGTATTCTCCACTCCAATTTATAATTTTGCGCGGAAGTACCACCTCCTCCCCATTAATGCATATCCCTGCAAAATGGGAGTTAGAACGGATTCGCAACACATGTTTGAAACAGACAAAAGACGATTTTGGGCATGAAATGCATCATTATACTCGATTTATTGTATGGTATTGCGCTTCACACCGGGGGTTGGCCACCTAGACTCCCAGCCCTTCCATCTATTTTGCCCGCAGACTATACTACAACAGCTTTGAGGATTCCTCAAAGAAGCGAAAAGTAGAAAAGTAATGCATAGTAATTAATAAGTTATTTGTACTGCTAGCGTTAAATACCTCATTTGAGATAATCACATAGTGCTAATCACGAAGTGGCTACTGACAAATCCATTTCAGTAACTACAGACAAACAAGTACAAAAGCCACTATACGATTCAAAAGACCTAATAAATCATCAACAATGAAGACAGCAGTCCTAGTAAAAAGAAAGGAGGGAGGAGAAGGAGGGCATATCGTAACTTTCAAACTAAAGTAAAAGGCGGGGGAGGGGTTGCGACGACACCATCATAAGATCTAGGCGCAGCCAAAGAAAAAAAAGCACACATGTGTACACGAGCAGGGCAGGAGAAAACGAAACGAGACAAAACTAGAGCCTTGTGTGTATCTGGGTTTGAGAGGTAACAGAAGCAAGCCAATCAGTCAGGCAGCGACGTTAAAAGGAAATATACATGAGGTGCAAATAACGACAGGACGCGGAGGAGCTGAGAGTCATGAGCTAGGGTCGACTATCACCATCAGCAGTGGTGGTGCTGAAGGATGAGACCTGGGAGTCCACAAGAGTTGAAGATGAGGCGAAGTGAGTACTGCGAAGGGTCTGAATGCAATCCAGTGCATCGTCGATGCAGCCGGGATATTGATCCAGTAGCCTGCAAAAAATAGGTAAATTCGACATCACTAGGGCATTCAATCTTCCGCTAAAATTTAAGCTACACTCTTTTGGATCATCGGCTATCGCATTTGTGATGCAAAGAAGAGCTGGGTTTGAAAGTCTGTAGTTAGTAACGCTACTGCCTATCAATTCTCGATTTACTGGTTAGGATGGAAACCCATCACGATTGCCATTAAACACACGAATGCAAACGAAATCACGAATGCCATAAATTCGTCAACGACTATGGCGTGCATCGGCGGATTGAGAAGTTTCATTTTGGACAGACAATAAAGTTCAGCCTAAGATATTCTTGGAAGCTGGATGGCTCATCAAAACGGAAGTTCCATTCAGCACAAAAGTTGTTTAGTTAGTATGAAGGCAGGAGAGAAGGGTTTAACAAGTATCTTTGTAAAATGTGGTTAAGAATTGACAGAACTAGAACGATGGCGTCTTACATTTATCTTCAAATATTCAGATTGTGAGTTTGCCGCTCTGAATTTGCGATCATTGATTTCAAACGCACCTTTCTTTTCTAATGAAGATTTTGAGAAACCACGTTATTTTCCATCAACAATGAGTATCCGTCGTGAATCTACGGATTAGTAGAGGCAGTTCGGAACACCAACGGACAATGCAGTTGACTGACAGAGATTATGCATTTCGTATGAGTCCGCAGAGGATACTGGACAAAAAATGCCGCTTACATGACACTGCAGTGGTGAGAGAAGCCATGAGTCTAATTCAGCGATAGTAGGAGGTTCGTTTTAAAGAAATGCAAAAAAAGTCTGCCTAGCGTTTAATGCAAGCATCAGATTCACGCCTAGTGCCGAGTTCCCAACATCCAAATCGCAGACTTCTTCAATAAACATTCTTCCAACCAGACACCAGAGTTCATGATTAATTGAATCATTTCCAATGCCTTCAAATCATCGCATCCCACTTTCAACATTATAGATCGAGATGTGTTTAAGTATGCGATCAAAACAAAATTCTCCTGGTAATCATAGTCACGCCACAGAAAAGTGGATCCATTGCGTTACCCCTTGGTAAATCCGAAGTGATCAGTGCGATAATCTCCAAAAAAATTCACCTAACAATAACAACGACCCCCGAGTCAAAATGTTCCAAGCTATCGGCACAAAGTTTCAAAAGTATTTTAATCCGACTTTGTACATCTTTTTCCTTAATCACAACAAGTTTTCCTGATTCACCATTGGGGAAAACGACAAACCTTCATGAGTCCGCCAAACCCCATGAAAAACAGCAAAAAACGCAGACTTACCGAGTAATGTGACTGACAAGCTGTTCCTTCGCGATACCCGCTAGTCGTGGCAAGAAGGAGAGAGTTGAGGAGGGAACGGCAGTGGAATCCTCTGTCACCTCTTCCTCCACTACCTGCTCTGTCATGCCCCACACTGCCGTCGATGGATCGAAGTGGAGGTCACGAAGACCCTGCAACGCCTCCGCCATACGTGTATCACCTAACTGGCCTGCCAACCAGCGAGCCACTGTGACATCGCACTGTTCCCACGTCAACTCTCCTGCCTCCACTGCTTCCTCCGCTGTTTTTCCGCTTCCCCCTTCAGAAATGGTGGTCGTCTTCGCTCCACTTCGTGTGTCTTCCAAGAACCACTGCCGAAGGTGAGTCAGTGCTTGCCGGATGGGGACGCCTCTTCGCGCGCCTGTGAAGCGAATAAGAAAAAGCAATGAGGCTAACTACTTATTTCGACATTGAGGTACCGGATAAATTAGCTATTTTTGCGGAGCCTGGAGAGTCTGCTAATAATTTTGCCAACATAAAAGATTAAACATTCAAGGATGAAAGGAAGAGACACACCAATCTCGGCAATCAGCTGACAGGCACGTTCTGCCGTGGTAAGGAGAGGCTCCGTTTCGCCCCTTGTCGCAGTGGAACCACCACTGCTTGCAGCAGAAGCACCAGCAAAAGTCGTGCCACTGGGTTTCTCGTACACTGTTGGTAAGGTGAACTGAGGTCGTTCAGCTAGTCAAAAAAACGAAATAATTTATTACATCAAACTTGAATGAGCGTCCACTCAACCACTCTGGATTTAAAAAAATAGTAAAAAGTTATCGAAAGTTTGCCGCTTGGTTAAAAAAACAACACCCCAAGTAATTAAATCAAAACATAGATTCATTATTTTACCTGTCGAACTTCGAGGTTAGCTAGCAAAGACAAAAGAGCACCTCAGAGGTAAAGTGAAGCTAAGACACTGAATACAGGCACGAACTGATGAATGAACACCTTGATGACCTACAAAGTCACCCATTACCACATAAAAGCAGCAATGGATGGAAGAGAAACTCATCTAAGTGTAAATAAGACTGTATTCCTAATAGTAAGCATATGAGACCAGTTACTCGGAACTTATACGAACATTCTGAATTCCCCTACTCTTGCTTCCTTATCTACCCAAAGACTTATAGATTCTCAGTCCAACTTCTCGCAGTTCCACAACAAATCGATGCTTACACCATTTTTTTAAAGTTTTGCGGGATGATAGGACTTCTCTCAATGCCTTGACGAAAGATCATGAACCCAAGACCCAATATTGACGCTTTACCGTTAGCCAAGAATTCCTCAGAGGGTTGAAGAGACTCGCAAAGGCCCTGTGCAAAGCCCGTCTTCGACCGAATGGAGAGAGTAGGGTTGTGCGCGCGCCACAATCGCTCTACCGCTTCCTGCTCCAGTATACGTCGGGCAAGGCGAGCAAAAAAGAAGGCCCGACTAGAGCCCCACTCCACGCTCCCGTGCACCAGTCCGCGCGTCACCAATCGACCTGGTGTATCATGCAGATCTGCAAAGTGGTGAGAGACCTGAAGTAGGAGGAAGAGGAGAGTGATGAAAAGCTCTGATATCAATCTTCCTCTAGGTGTCAATGCCTTTGCCTATCTTCCCACATTTCCATAACGTCTGTCCTTCTACTCAAATACCTCTTCGTCTAAAAGCCTGTCCCTTTGTCTATCTCTCCATCTCCCTTTCTGCCCATCTACTCGCTCCCTTACCTATCTGCCTCCCCAAGTGGCGCCCTCTCCCTCTTTGCATATCTGTTTAGCCGTGATATTAAAAAATACTAAAATCGTTCAAAACACAGGGATTGATAAGAGACGATAAACCAAGACAATTTGGTTGAAAAAGTCACTAAAATTTAAGGAAGAATAGGTCACCCTCTCACTTGTTGATATATGGGCATGAGGTGTTCCTGACGCTGTTTCAAACGATCCTGTAGTTCCTTCACCACCGTAAATGACTGCGGCGAGGCGGCCTTGGCCGCGGCCACTTCGGCGATGAGATGGGTGCATAGTTCATCAAGGCGGTTCATGGTAGCGAGAAGATCTGCAGCACGGTACTTAATCTCCACGGTGCCCTCGGGCTCGATCACACCACCACGGCAGGTGCGCGGTGTGCAAAAGAACTCCATGTGGTCGGGATTAATGGCGGGATCGATGACCACCCAGGCACCGCCACGCAGCTCCGCATGTGGTGGCAAATAGATGAAGACGGGATTGGGATAGGTACGGAGAGATTCCACTATCATTGCACCGAACTTTAGCACCTGTGAGTAGGGAAGGAAGATCAATTAGCCGGATAAAACTGCAAAATGCAACTCTACACCAGAGATGAAAGCCTAATTCATTTATACCTCACTAACGGTGCTGACGTTCTGTGAATTTTAGGACAGACCACCGATTGATCGATGGAGCCTATTTCTCAACGGATAGAGATTTTATGAGAGTAGACCCTTCCAATGACATCCGAACAGTTCAGCGCCATATATGAAAATCGGAATCTGCTCTACCTTCTCAGTGACAGAGGAGAACATATCGGCTGATCAATGGACATTTCAAACCAAAAAGGAGCATATGAAAATATATTCTTTCAATGGGGAATCCCAAGTCCTAAACTGAGGATGAATGTTTAAACTTTCTTTTCCAAAAGTGAATGCGATAGGCTGTAGGTTAGTCCATTAAGTCAATTGAAAGATAAACACGAACAAACCTTACAGACTCCACAATAGGAGTTTGCTTCAAGCAAATTCATGCCATCGATGAGCATTCTGAGATCAATTTTCAAAGCTCTGATTCCTATTAAAGCTAGCCGATCAACAAAGCAGTCAAGAGTACAAAATTTCCCTTAATTCAGCCGAAGGATCGCAAAAATCTCTACGGTAGCGGACTTCTTAAATCCGCAACATCAGAGGAATCATGGTTCTGCCGTATAAATGGACTTTCCTAAGATTACCACCAAAAAAGAGAAGGATGATTGAATGGGTTGTGAAATCGAGCAGCTCCAAGGCAAGGCAGATAATCCCACCTGATCATACATGTCCTTCAGTCCCCCGGAGAATCCGCGCCAATTGGCGAATATAAAAAGGGGCAGTTCCTCTCGCGCAAAGTCGGCAATCGCTTGCGCAGTCTTATAGGAGGAATCTGGATACCAAACCTGCCCGGCCTGATTGATGGTCTGTACCTCCGAGGCGGGATTGGCTGGGTCTGCAGGCACCCGACACACGGAGACACGAGTCTCTGGGGTCACCACTCCACAGGGGATACCGCCGAGGCGCGCACGTCCCACAATCACTCCCGGTGCCCACGCACTCAATGCCTCTTGCCAGGTGCCGCGGTCGAAGAAGCCCGAGAGCCAGGTCTGATCCATTCGGCTGACCGGTAATGCGGCTGAATCCGATGACTTTGTTGTTGCCGATTTTGACGTGGAGGATGATTGCAGCTGACCACCTGGAATTACGGGAATTGGGTTACCAATTAGAAGCCCAGTAGATAGCTACCCAACAGGACATCTGGGATGTCCATTTGCCGTAAAACTTTTCAGAGGAACTAATTTAGGCAATGGAAGTTAATCATTTAGCTAGGTTTTTTGCTCTCTAGCAAGGCGAAGGTCTATGACTACAATCGACCGTAAAACAAATTAACAAGAATCTCACATATGCCTAAAATGGTGTCTTTAAACATTTTTTCCATTTAAGTTTGCCCGAGATTTATAATTTGATCCAACACTGAAGTTCAAGAGCCATAAACTGCCATTTTGGCAAAAAAACATGGGAAGATAATAATTCAATCGTGTAGTAGTTCACACAATGACGTAAAATTTCAGTACTTCTTTTAAGTGATCATACAGGTCTTTACCGTACCAAAAGTTGCTCATCATTACGTTTATTAATCAATCCACATCTTATAACCCTTCATTTCAAAAAGCATCCATTTGCTTTGACATAATAAATTCATGGAAAAGGTCCTAAACAAGTAAGAGTGTGAACGATGACTGACAAGGACGGCACGTAATCTGAAGTAGAGTACAAAACTTTTGCATAAATCGGTTGATAATGCGCCGAGGCGAGGGAATGCATGCATTAAGACGGTAATATCTGATGCGATTGTGCGTTTAAACAAACGGTCTCTTCAGTCTCCGCAGTTTCAGTTTACCCTTAGGTGCCGCAACGTTCTGCACATGCCCAGAGCCTCCCCGTTCTTTGCCATGTTAAAAGTACGACCATCCCCATGCTAGTAATGACCCGTAGCGCCTGAGGCTCTACATCCCACCCAGATTTATTGGACGAATTTGATAGCGGAAGACACAGTGAGATCCTTGCAGAAAGTAAATACCTCAGAACCCCAGAGTTCAAAGGTGAGTAAGTTTCGTTTCACAACAAAAAGATAGAATTCCTAGATAAGAGCAAGGGTACCATAACCATTCCTTTACAATTACAAAATGTATTATCTATTTGGAAGCAGTATCTTTATGTAACATAAGCCTTCGGAACTTTAGTAAAAGTTTATTACCTACTCCGATCTGATATGGAAGATTGAAATCAGATACAAACTCTCATACTAAATATGGAAGAAAATTCCTGGTTTCTCCCAGAAGAAGTTCACTTATGACAAAAAGGTAAGAGACATTTTCATCGATTTGACACTGCCCACGACTTCAAGCTTATTAAAATTATCAAAAGGAAATATAAGAAAACAATAAATCAACTTAACGTCCCAGAGTCAACCATCGAACGCCTTGAACACAAATACAACGTGCGAATCTCATGCTACGAAAGGGGAAGGCTTCATGTGCGAAAACATCCAATCTCGCGCTTTTTAGTAAGATTCCACTCCATTTCATACAGCCCACACGGCCCAGGCATGTAGTTGAAAGGGTGACCAATAAGCCTGTCCACAATACCAGAAACTCGGTAGCCAACACAAAATAAAGATAATGAATGAAGTTATACTTGCGTTGAAAAGTAGAAAATTATCACTTAGGCATGTTACAAAAGCGGTTTCAAGCACTCAAAAATTAACAAGAACACCTAAAAGAGAAAAAAGGCAAACGAACGCACTCATGACTCCAGTAAACATCCACCGGGGATCATCATTAGTTCTCTCACGCGAGGGCACGTACTCCACCGGTCTATCGATGGGATCAGCTGGGGGACTGCGAAACACCGGCAGTCGAGCGCCCCGGCTGATGGGCACGAAGGAGAGCCAGTGAACCACCTGCTGAAGCGCCAAGTATTCATCGGGCACCACAAGATGGCACACTCCGTTGTTGGCCATTACCTGCACCCCACCTAACTGGCCGTTACCCGTGTAGACCTGCCGACCGAGCAGTTTGTTTAGTGCCATTGCGCCTGTAAGGATGATATGCGAATTCTCGATCTGCAGCGGAGGGAAAAAAAATCGGTACTTACTAGGGGAGAGCGAAAGGGACAAAAATAAAGCGTTGACAACCGCCCACCTGAATGACCCGCTGCCCCAGACGCACGAGGTAGGCGCCAATACCAATTGTGCGGCTAGTGACGACACTGAGAGTGAAACACTCCTCGTAGGCTCGCGCCGTCTCCTCCGCGATTAAGGCGGAGCCGCGCAAATTCTCCACGGAGATGTCGAAATCCTTACCGATTATGTCAACTATCTTGTAGCGCTCCTCTCCATTCTCCATTACCCTCTCGCAGTTGACAGAGTTTATCTTTTTCAGCTTTTCGTAGTCCTCCGGGGTCAAGTAGAGGTAGTTGAAACCCTAGCAGATGACGACGGACAAAAGAATTCTGAGTTAAACCAATCGATAGTGAAGACCTCTACCGCACCCATGTCAAAGGCAATTCAAAATTAACGTCACTCAGAATTCCCCCATGGAGTTACAGCACGTGTACGGTGGAACCTATTTGTGTCTGCCCTATGATAAAATTCCTTTTATCTCAAAATGGCACTTAATATTGTGTAATCCAATCTCACAAATCAATTTTTGTAAAACTTTGCTAGATGGGGGAATTTGAATGACCCAAAAGCATCAACTCAGCTCAGCACTGCGCTTATCACCGACGAACAGGCTTGCTCAATTACCACTAAAGTAGCGGGTTTTTTATGCCCTATTGCAGTCGACGAAATTCGACGAGGATTAACTTTGCTGTGGTTCCCAAATTGCAACTACTTTAAGTACAAGGAATAGACGTTAAACAGACTGATTGAAGAAGTCATTTGAAGCGCCAAGAGGAAAAAGAGTATATATCCTATGTTTCAGCACCTCAGAGCATCACACATGACGAGCTCATGGGGAAGTACCTAATGTGGGTGTACGTCTAGTCTAACAAGTGAGACGACCAAAAAATCAATACAATTCTTACTTGTACACAGAGCACTGCTACTCGAACCACATCCATAAGATGAACTCGGCAACTAAATCATATACCAATTAATTACGAACACAGTTCCCTTTGTAAATGTAATTGTAAAGCCAACACAGTCAGTCGATTACGCAGTACGAATGTCCAGTTCAACCAGATGGACGAACGGAAGGAAAAGAAAGTGTTGGAATAAGCAACCTCGATGACCGCGCACGACACGCCCTCCACCGTTCACAATACACAAAAGACAATAAAAAATATTTTACTTGATCTTCCATCGAAAAGGTAAAAAAATCGGTCAAAAACAGATGAGTTTCTATTTCACTAAAGCTTTAGATTACTTTTATTTCACTAAGTAAGGGTCCCATCAACACAAAGTCCTCACTACGTACCATCTGCGGATGTTTCTCATCGGCCCAAGCAATCCTGAAGACGGCCTTAACCTCCTCAGCAAGACGGATGCGAGCACCGGTATTGGCGGCGAGAAAGATGCGTGGAATGCCCAGACGTCGTGCCAGCTCACTAGCTCGGTAGAAGACAAGGTCTTCACAAGGTCCGAAGGAGCCTGCGTTGTGCGTCACGTCGTTGGCAATGACGATGAGGGGTCGGCCTTCGGGGTACTCTGGAGTGCGCATCACAATGTACCATACCACCATGCCGATCTAAAAAGGTGGATAGAAGGGTACATTTGAAACTGTAGTTACATATAATGTGCTTTAAAAAGAAAATAACAAATGACAGCAAGCTGCTTGCTCTAAATACTGTTGAGGCATAAAAATAGTCAAATGGGGTAACGCATCGCCGTGTAAAGTTGGAAAAGGTACAATTATCTCACCAAGACTCGCTGTGTCATGGTAATTCTCAGGGATTCAATAGGGCTAAGATGCCTACCATCGATGGTGAAAACTGTCAGGGCGGTCAATGTCACGTGTCCGCCTTAGTCATCTAGCCCTACCACTACTCAATCTACCCAAACCGCCTAGATTGGCCTCCGACTAGCTGACCACAACGCTAATCACTCACACGCATCCCCACCCCACTCGATGCGCGCTCCTGGGATGCCCTTGTCCGGCTACCTCTGCGTTGCCTTTCCTGAGACTTGGTCATTTTTGTGTCCGCGTTTTAACAAATCCCCGTAATTTACTTTTGAGTTTGGTCCAGTTAAAAATTACGGAAAAGTTATAACAAAAGCAGGGAGAATAACTGTTAATTGATGCGTTCAGTGGGGACAAATACATTGGTCAGGTGAGTAAATCCATTTGAAAAGCTTGCCACAGAAAAGCATTCGATGAAAACTCCTTTGAATGTTGGTGAAAAAGAGGTCAACCCAGAAAGAGACTTTTGAAGCGCCAATTTCAGTCTTCCGCGATTGGCTTTACTTTGGTAACACGGAGATTTGGTACTAGCTCCTCAGCTCTTACCTACACAAAACTCCTTTTAAACTACTACACCTCGAATGCCGACTGAAGTGTTACATGCCTGGAATCCTTCACCACTTCCAAAAATGCAGCAGATTTTAATGTTGCTACAAAGGAGGAGGAATTCCAGAGAGATCGGCAAACTATCGCATGATCTTTATCACCATCCCGTGAAGAATAACGCTGAAGGCAAATCAGTGGGAGCACCGCGAACGGCTATCAAAAGGTGCTCACTTCAATAGTGAATTTTGACAATGCTGGATTGTCAAGCCCACATGCTTCAGAATATGCGACGATGACATTCAGATTTACTCGTGTCATCCTATACTATTTCTCCAATCTCACCTGTGCGTCAATAATAAAGGTACTTCCCGAGTCGTGCGCTCATTTACGTAAACGATAAGCCTAAAATTTACCACAGAGGAAAAGCGCCTAGATGGCGAAGCATGTCTACTCGACGAGCAATCGCAATAGCTTTCCCAATCACCTTGTTCAAGCAGGGTGGCCGGTCTACGTGGACAAGCTCACCAGCTGAATTGAGACAGAGCTCCTTGCACTCCAAAAGGTGACTGCTGCTGTCCGCATCACGACCAGACTTATCTGGCTCATTGGACTTGGCTGCAGCTGCAGCAGCCATCGGACGGCCACCAAGGGAGTTCCACATCTCGTTCAGGACTTGGCCAAACACCACGGGGTAGTCGTAGACATACGTCGAACTGTACTTCTGCGCCTATAGGGAGCGAGGGAAGAGGGAAGGAGAGAGGTGAAAACGCTTACTGCACAGTGTTCCGAAAAATTTGTCATCTCCATCAAGTAAAGAAAATAGGGATTTCAAAGCAGGCGGCTTTATTGACTGACGTGCGTGAGTATGCGCAGAGATACGGTGTACGTGCGAGCCTGGCCAGTGACTAGTGAAGACCGCTTGGGTATGCTCCACCCGATCGGCTTAGTCAGGTGTACTGTGAATGGTTGATCCTAGAATTTAAGTATTTATCAATACACGACATGAGCCAATCAGGAGGGACTGAGCGAAAGCACGCCTCTAGAAGGTTTAGAGATAAGTCATCAGGTGGAAAAGAAGCATTCCCCGGGGTCGCAGGCGTCCCTGATAGGTGTGTGTTTATACTAGTAGGCCTTCGACTCATACAGTATTTGGTGAGGTCCTACATTATGTTACTAGAAGTCCAGTCCTTCGGAAAGCTAATAACTAAACTACTTCTAGATTCCAATGCTTTATAACTTCAGCGCCAAGAATGCAGCAGCTGTATTTGTGGTGAATGCTATCCGGCTGCTTTTGATTGTCCAATAAGTCGGTTACCACGAAAGCGGTATAAAACGTCGCTTTTACCGGCCATGGTACCAGTACCTCAGCTCTTCCGATTTGGCACATCAGTAAGGCAGCCAGAAGTAGCTCGGCAGCTATATGACCTTTGTAACTACCATAATGCATTTGGCTATGAAACCTTTCCGAATCCGCAAGAGTGACTCATGCAAATTGTCAAAAAGTAACGAAACCATCAATACAAACGAAAACAATCAGGACAAGAGCATACTCTGAGCAATCGACTAGAGAAAAGTTAGCTACAAGTCTATGAGATTTAGGAAGCTGGTAGCGGTTATATGATTATCCAAACGCAGAGAGGAGAGGAAGTACCTGGAATCGCTTGATCTGGAGAAAGTCTTTGGTCTGATGAGGAGCATTTGCGAGACAGCCATGAAGCGAGCCGATACGGGGGCCAAAGGAGACGAGATGTATGGCACCGGTGCGAGGATTGGGTACCTCACGGTACAACTCCAATACCAGGCTGTAGCCCTGCTCGTTGGAGATGATCAGGCGGATGGGGATGCGCGGGCCGTTCTTACTGTGGCGGATCAGCAGCTTCAACTCGGCCTACGCGGGGAGAACGATGAAAGGAAGAGTTTGTGGATATCGGCTAAATGCGTTACGATGTCGATTACCCGGTCGGTATTCAAGGGCAGAATTAGATTTTACGTCTACATTTCTGGTTCAAGCTTCATAGCACTTCCACCAACAAATAAATAAATCTTAAAAAAGCTTCCAGCATTAACGACACTTCAATATTGACTATTCCATCGATGAATTAAAGAGGGTCTTAATTTGGAGAACTAACACGCGTTTAAATTCCAATTTGACTCTGAAGAGATAACTAACTAATAGGATCCTTGACCAACTGATAACTCAAGTGCAGGATGAGTTCAATAATACTTTATTGCTTGGAGGTTGATGAACGAATTAAAGACCCACTAGACGGCGAACACATTTGTGAAAAATTTCGTAGAAACGGGTTTCATTGGTTATTAAACCCAAAGCACTTTACTGATCCCTTATAAACACGGAGTATCAAAACTTTGACAAAATTATATGAAAGGGACTCAACCGATCATGCAAGCGAAGGTGGCTACTTATTTAAATGTTAAGCAGGCGACCGACCAACAAAAAAATCAGAAGTACTTGGTTCAGTTGGCCAAGAAATCGAAGTGGAGATGAGATTACCAACAGGGGATTTCAATTTCACTAATTTTCTTGACTGATACTTTAAAATAGAAACTATACTTTCATTCCTCTAAGTAAGTAGACGAGACCTGTAAAATGAATACGTGGCACGTGGTAGACAACCTGTCTTCTCTGAATTCGAGTGTTATTTCCAAATCAACTACCTCAGAAATGCTTACTTTCACTGAAGACTCCAAAACCACTCATTTCCGCTAATCAGTAGTGTATTTTTATTGCTCTTAAAATGAAAACCCATGTGTTTGTTAGCATACGACCCAGAGACTACTGATTTCGGCGGTGATCACCCCAGAAGTAAAATAAAGCCGACATTTTTATAATAACTCAGAGAATTCCTAGATCCGAAAGGAGGACATTTGAGCAAGAGATTTTTCCGGCAAAGCCAACTTTCACGCTTCTCAATGAGAACATCTTTCCACCACAAAAGGCTCCGTAAATGACGCCAAGAAGGACCTATATTAATTCAAGGTTCGAATAAATTATGATGCTCATGGAAATTCTAGTATCATTTTGGAGCAGCCATTGGAAAAGTAAACTGATTTCGAAACCTAAACGAATAAACGATGACGAGTCCCCTAATTTTGTCACTGAATATTTTGAAACTGAGACCATTTAGAAGTTTTGCCAATTGAATTGCATGCGTCTCAGCAGTAGCGCTTTAACTGGCAGTTCATTTGACAAGATCACAATTCCAGTTTGAATGTGAGGAACATTTTGCAGCAGGCTATCAATCTATACGAACTGAAAAAGACGATTTCTATTATTGACTCAAACTTACTCATCCAATGAGTGACCGACAATGCTATTCTTAAGCCTCGTAAGCCTGTAAACCAGGAGGAATAAATCACTTAGAATCTTTTAAGCAGGCCATCGAACAAAGAGTGGCTCAGAAAGAGATGAGCTGCATAACACTGGCAGTCGTTAGCCCACCTGTTTGACCCGCAATTTGATGAGCCGCGTGGCGTAGCGCAGAATAGTGCTTCTTACAGTACTCTGCAACAGGGCAATATCCTCCAACAGAAGGGTTGGTGCAAAGTTAAGAAAGATGTGATTGCCCGTGGTGAGGTTGGCCTTGGGATGAGAGAAGGCCATCTCAAGGGCGTCCATGGCCTCTAATAGGGTGCGCTCCGCCTCCGAGCGCAGGTATTCAAAGGATGATGCCTTGGAGACGAGATCCGCGTGGCGGATTACGCTACGTACGAAGAAACGGAAGTCCACCGCGCCCTGACCCTGAGGTACCTGGTTAACGCAAGGGCGCATTCACGTATGTGAGCTTACCCTTTATACATGAAAAATGAATGCCTATTGAAATCCAACTAATTAGCATATATACTAGAGAGTTTTAATTGACCCACGAGGTGGTATACATTGAAATGCGATGCCTTCTTTCAAATCTACCTGAAATTTTAAGGGAAAATGACTAAAAAAATACGATGTCATCTCATTGAGTTTACTTAACAGTTAAACATTTGTTGACGCAAGGGTGGATTATTAGCTCATCATTTTGCAAAACTTACGCTACTTTAATAAAGTAAGCTTGTGAACTCCAAATCTTCAACTCATTTTCTAGCAATACGAGTCATCTCCTGTTTTGATTCGTGCAAAGGTTACTATTGATCTCCTGAGGGTGCCTAATGCCTGAACAATAGTCGGAATCGGGTAGTTTGAAAGACAACCCGAGCCTAAGGTGACGAAAAGTGATGAACGGCTGCAGCAAAAGGAGTGATCACCAGCTTAAAATGAGTACAAATTTGAGGCACATTGAACCGTATAAAAGGAAGTAAACATTCCGTACAAAGTTGACCGTGTCCAGATCTAGGAGCTTATCAAATGCCTACTAGACGTTTTAAAGAAGTCTAAAAACGTTAGCAAATGCCTCACCTTGGCCTTTCCAATATACATTTGCATCCGTCGGTTCAATACTGGAATGGGTTCGAGATCGTAGTTCTGCAGCCGATTAATTTCCATCTGGAAGGCTAGAGCGGGCTCCAGGTTTCGATACACCCTGTCCTCCTTGAAGTTGTCCCGTGCACGGAAATTGAAGAATAGTGGATATTTGCCCTTAAAAAAATACATCTTCAGTGACACTCTGGATATTAAGTACATCTCGCCTATATATGGCAGCCTTAAAACCCATAAGTCCCAACGTGTATGAACAGAAACAGATGATCATAAGTCGGTAAATGGGGCAGTCTGTCATGTTGATTGACCCGATAGTGTATAAGTTATCAGAAAAAGAGTTCTGATATTTAGTCAAATGCTCCACTAAATGGTAGGCATAATAGCAAAGTCTCTCAAACACCTAGTGCATAATGGGTAAATCTAGGGAAGGAATTAGACACTAAAGTGAGACAACGAAAAGGCCTTATAACACTCAGGGCGCCTTGGAACATCCGGAAGGCTGGATGAATAGACGGGGCTGTCAGAGGCATTCCAAGAGGGTGCAAAAGTTGTAATGCAGTACAACAGGCTTCAACTTGACTGGATATGGAGAGGATAGGTGTAGGCAGTGAATCAAATCCGGTAATACAGCAATTAATCAGCAACTTGCATTAAAAACTGATCACCTTGAAATTTGTCCAGGGAGATAAATATATCAGACCAATACTAAGCTTTTTAGGCTCGGTTCATTTACATACAAAAACTGCTTTAAATGAGAGTAAAGACGATTTTAAAATACCTAGTGTTGGCTAAACATGCAGCTTTGGCATCGGCAAGTCAGACCCAATTAGTTCCAACATAAAGGTATCACGAGTTGCGCTAGAGAGAAGGCGGATATGCTGCTAAAACCAGGTGATTCAATCAGGTGCAACTTAGGCCACTTACTTGAGCGAAGTCTTAAAACATTGTACTTTTATGAGAAAAAACCTAGGTATTTGCATAAGGGCTTAAAATAACGGATCATACAGTTACCTCAAACAGGTAGCCAAGCTGAAATATTTAGGTGCAATTGGCCACTTAGTGAAATCTTCCCACCACTCCACATCAAAAAAGTCAAGAGTTCTTCCCGCCATTCTAATAAGTAGAAGTTCAGCCTACCAACGTAATGAGCATAAAGGTGATGCGACGAACAGCAACAGATTTGAGGTGACCGCACTGTTCCTGACAGAAGGCCTCCAACATTCGCACCGTCGCCTCCTCACCGGACTCTTCCTGACCCTCGGGTGACCAGCGGAGGCCGACGTTCATCACATTCACTGGTTCCTCGTCATTGCTCGCCTAGAAGGTAAAGAAAAGGAAGAATTGGCAGAACACGGACCTCCGGGGCTTGCCAAGTACCATTTTTAAACTGGTTAAAGAGCCGATAGTAACTCCTGCCATAATGTGCATAAGCAGGGAAAAAAGGAAAATCCAATGGGTTGTCCAAGTCTTTAGAAATTCGACGTTCAAGTAATCTTCTGGTCTTGATAAAAACTATTCAAAAAGTTCACGTAAAAAAGTAGGCTTCAGGAGGAATAAAAAATTCCAAATCTGGGCTAAAATTAAAAATAATACTGCGTCTACCTCTAATAAATACTTAGAAGGGCAGACAAGACTGATTTCTGCATAACTAAAGATTCTTTACTAGAGGCTTGGTGAGGAATTATGGGAGTGATTATTCATATCTTGCAATTTGATTCATTCCAAACAGGCCTTAGCCAATTTAGACTTGAAATGGAAGGGTAGTCATAAGTTGAATGCTAAGCTTATAAGATACTGAATCATTTTTACACAAACTAGCTTTAAAAAACTTCTACGTTTCTTCACCGCATCTTAGGTAGTTTGGTAACATCAACCAAACTAAGGCGACAGTTCAGAAACATTACATCATAACGTGCTCTAAAACCAGTGATAATAGACACGAGCAAGTGCCGGCACAGAATTGCATATCAACTGAAGGGCACGACGTATACTTGAACATGAATGAACTTCTTCAACTCAAATAAGCCGTAGATGGTAAAAACTAAACTCTAAGTGGTAGAATAGACTTTGTACAAAAAGTAAAGTCCATCTCAAATCTACGTTGATTTGGAAGCAATTCTTTAGATTCATAAAACATTCAAAAACATTATCTGAGAGACGATTCACTCAAGTAGCAGCCAGCAAAATGATATTTTAGGATGTCTTCAAACGACGATCTGGACTTACAGTCTGGAAAGGTGGATCCTGGAAAGTTACAACGCTATTTCTGCAGGAAAGACTCGACGGAAAACTGCCCTGACGTCGACCCCCAGCCCGTCTCTCCATCAGCATCGCCTTCTGCTTCTGCTCAAAGCGGAAGAGGAAGGTGGGAAAATATCTATTAACAATAAAAAAGAAAATCTTAAAACATGTCACGTTTTGGCAAAAATATAACTCCAACACGCTGACGTTTTCAGTTCCTCAAAGGAATTGAACACCACAATGGCACCAAGACGCTCCCTACTCTGCATCTCTTGCATTCGTATATCCTCACTGGATGCAGTGGCGACCTGAGAGGGGATAACAGATACCGAAAAAGTCCTCTGAACTCCGTTAGACCCCGTGGAGGCTGTTTGGTGGGAAACTTCCGTGGAGGAGCGAATGCAGTCGGGGGCCTGGGTCTCGGGGATGAACCAGCAGTTTGCATTGAGAGGGAACTGCTTACTGGTGGTAGTGGGAGCATCGTCATCCACGTATTCCTCAGCGGAGGGCTCGAAGAGGTCATTGTCAGTGTCTTCGTCGGCGCCGAGGTAGTAGTGGGGAGGGGAAGCCGACTCGATGGAGTGGCGAAGGGGGACCTGACTGCTCTGGGCGTTCATTGCACGCTTCCAAATTTTTCTGAAGGATAATGATACTGAAAAGTAGAAGTCAGTTGCTGATGTCCCTTGAAATCTGCTAATTTAATCGAGAACACAACGATCCGCGCTACACACCGACCACACCGTAAAAATTAATGTATCATTGTTGTCTCAACCCTCAAAAAGATTCAGCCAAGATTATTAGTTCGATTTAAGGATTCGAGCATTGCAGGTAAATGAAACTAAAGTACCGTCCAAAAACGAGATAAGCCAATTCTCAAAAGAGTTCAGAAAAGAAATAAATATGCATGAAAACAAAATACACCAAAAACCACTTCTTTGGTCACTTTGAAAATTTTTCTAGCAGCCTAAAGACCTAGAAACAATACAACGTGATATCCTTTTCAGCAATATACCGACTATTAATGTCGAAAATGGTTGTTATAATTACAACACGCAAACATCCATTCTTCTGTCTACTTCCCAATAAGAAATTAAAAAATCCACCCAGATAACAGAAAACAGTTTTTAAAGGATAAGCAGTGGGGGTTTGAAAAAGGCTGTTGATGTTCTAAGGTATGTAATAAAGGGAAAATTACTTGATACTTTGGTAAAGCCAATACACAAAAATAAAAGTTGGTTTCGACAGTAAAGGAAAAGGGATAGTTATACAATGATAAGTGACGTGGAGGAATTGACAGCGGCGATTATGTGCTAGAGTTTATCGAAGTAGACCAAATTGGACTCGAATCCGTCAAGTAATAACAATTCCTCAACAGACAAAAGCCATTATCAGTTTTGGAGTCCTTGTAAATTTAAAGTATTTGCAATAGCAAGGAGTTGCAAACTTGGGTAAAGAACACCATTGTAGGTCTTATGCTAAGACTTCTTAGACTGTCATCTAACCGCAACTTAGAGCCATAACCCTAAAACTGATGCCAAAATATTTGAAAGACCCAAAATTGTAAAATACGCAGGATTCTGCTTGAAAGATGTGAAGCTGCATTGAGGTGCTAGATACTAGGAATTGTGAGAAAGCCCAGCAGTTCGTTACGGAAACGGGCTCATAACACTGCATAAAATGCCTTAGTGATTGGTAATATGGAGCTAGGACAACTAAGCTTGTAATTACTAAACTACGAACCCGCTTTAAGTGTCTGCCAGCTAAACGAAGAGGAAATAAAAGATAGCATTCGTATGTAAAAACGCCAGAAAAAAAGGATATGCAAAGGGGTGGATAGGGAAGCAATTGACGTGCAGAAGACTAAAACGAGAAATTACAGGAAAGTTCCAATTTGCGTAAAAAGTTGATCTACTTGCTAAACAAGAAATCAACTGAGGCCGCAAATGGGGAGAAAGTGCCAAAGGAAGACCACATTTGAAACAAGAAATTACCATACTAAGAATGTCAAGGAATGGTAGAAACATGAATCAACTTTAAAAGTCTAGCAGCTCGATAAGGGGATCATATTACACCTAAAAAAAGAGGGCCCGAGAACCAATAGTGAAAGATGTTTATTTTAATGGCTAATAACTGGATTAGAAGAGAACAAAAATTATGAATTAAATGAGACCATATAGGGGAAACTACCCATAAAAATGGAGGTGGATATACGTAGGTGCACGGGATATGGCGGATACCAATAACGAGGGGAAATGTAATTCCAATTCAAAATTCTAGCGACTCGATAAAAGAGGAATGAAATTGGACATCTTCATGAGACCCTCAGGGAGAGATGAGGACCTACATTTGCATAGATGCGTTGGGCAGAAGGAAACGGAAAAAAATGGCATGAGCACTAGTGGCCTTATCGCTGGACGGGGTGATGAGGGCGTGCTGAAGGCCGGTCAGCTCGTAAGTAATGTAGGCCCGACGCACGTATACCTCCAGCGCTGCAATCACCACAGCAGGCTTCTGGTGGTAGAAGAACTCCAGCAACACGTCAAATACCGAAGTCTCAGAGGTGATGAGACGCTGTAGGGTCTCCGTCGTGGTGTTGCTGTCCCCGAAAGTGCTGATTGCCGAGAGGATTATCGATTCAACCTAGGAGGCATGGGTGCAGTCTCAATCAGCCATTGAAATAGCAAGATATGACTAGATCAAAACGGTTCAACCAATGTGAACACGAAGAATGACGTAGCTACAGGTAATCTAGCTCTAGAATCAATGGCTATCGAAGCTGATTAAAAGGTTATATTGAGCGAACAATGGCCCATGTGTTTTGCAAAATGCAGATGCAGATAATGGGCTGCTTCGAGTTTGAGAATTCCAGTTGACCCATAGGCGTGGTTTCTAAATTAACACAGCCTTTGAGAGGCTGCTTTTCTTAGTTTACATTCAAGTAAATGTAGCTGATAAGCCTTCAGTATGAGCTCCAAAATAGGCAGCCAGGACTGGTTGAAAAAAAAACAGTTCTCTGTTTTGTCAATAAATTATTTATCTTGCTCTCACACCCACCTGGTTTCGCCTCAGCTCGTAGGGCGGTGACTGCGCAGAAATGAGGAATTTTCGAGCCGTAAGCGCGACTTTAGCATTCTCCGCTTGTCCGAGTTGCGTGAGCGCGGTGAGTGAGTCGAAGAGGTCGCTACTGAGACGGGGAAGCAGCTCTTCGCGCAGACGAGCGCTGCGTTCAATAAGGCCACAGACAAGGGCATTTTTGGCTGCCAATTGGTGATGTGAAAAGTGCACTGCCACCACATCGTCTACCGAGGTGGGATCCACCAGGCATTGAACCCATTCGGATAGTCGAGCGCAACCCGAGAAGCGCGTTAACGAGTCAGGGGCGGAGGCGATGTCACTGCTCCCACCACTACCACCGCTACTAGAACTACCACCCGCAGATTCCTTCTGGCGAGCGAATAACAGTGTGACGCAACGATCATACTGACCTTTTCGGAAAAGAGAGGAAAACATGGGAACCTTTCCGCCATACTTGTTGAAAATTTGATCCATGAAAACGACGGATTTATGGCATATAAGCACGTAATTTAATATTGATTACCAGTCAGTCCCAGGTTCCATGAGGCATTTTTATGAATAATCTACGTGGAAAACGCAATGATAGATCGATAGGAGAAAACACTGAACATAACATAATAGATCACAACATCTATAATATATACAAACTATTACACTCATTCAAGAGCGATAAAAAGTGAAGTTGATTTCTAGCGCTGGAATAAATGCATGATGTAAGAGTATGCTACGGCGAAGAGCCGACTCAATTTCTACAACTTTAAATCTTTTCGGATCTTTGGTAAACTCAAAAGGCACAATTGACTTAAACTCATTAGTACCAAAAGAAGTCGTCTCATAGACGCGAAAAGGGACGCTAGATCCCCTAAAATTGCCAACATAAAAAGTTCTGAGTTCTGAGGTGAATCGAACCAATAAGCGAAGGAACTCGAAGACTCGAGAGAAATGCAGAAGAAGCCAACCATACCTGGAGCAGATTAGAAGCATCCACTCAGATTTTGCCCCACTTCGGTACTAAATAAACTTCAATATTAGATGGTACTATTCTATGGACAGATCAAATGAGGCCAGAGAAAATGAAGAGATGAATTGGAAAAAGGGAAGGGTCGTATTTAGTTTCTTTGATAGGCTAGTCAAAGGCATGACTGCAGCATTATCGTAAACGCTAAAAATAAGGCTCATAGGTTAGTGTGCTTATTAGTACAATAGCAGAAGACGTTACTAATTATTGAGGTAATACAGTGTTCCGGAACTACCACATAGGCGACGGTAGATTAGAATCATTTCCATGGATGGGAACAAACCAACATTTTACTTCATCGATGTCGCAGAAATGAATTTCGAAAATCTAATGTGATGCATTAAGCATAATTTTAGCCAGAGGATAATTATACGAGAATGCACTTAAAAAACATCAATGTCTATTAGGAGTTCCCTCATATTTAAAAAAATTTCACGTCAATTAACACGACTTAGGACATCCATAAGAAAAGGATAATATAGACAGAATAGAAAGAATTCCATTCCATTTTCTTCGCGCCATTTCGTCAAAAAAGCATTCAAATTATTGGGATCGACGTTTAAGCGAACCGAACCATCTGATGGGTTTTTATAACACCGAAAATTTTTCAGATAGTAAAAACTTACAGTAGTTAGTGGCTACCTTCAAACTTGAAACTCAACTCGTTATATCGTTGGCCTTCTTAAAAGGCTACCGAAAACTCTAAAAAACTCATGAGACAAAGAAGAAATATTATGGTAGAAAATTATCGAGATGAAAACCTAGTAAAAGTAACCAAACATGCAGCACAAGATTTTGTGCCTCTAGGCTAAACAGGTTTACCGAGTAATCAAGGACTCGCCTACAATTCAAGGAAAAAGCTTCCTCTACTACAGCTTCATGTCGCAGCTCTAAAATCGACACTCGGGCAAAGAGTCCTAACAAGTTCAAGGGAATTCCGACATTTAGCCAAGGGCGTGCTTTAATATTGGGGACCACGCATGGAGGAAAGCAAATCGTAGAAGCAGAGCGCTCGATTGCCCTCGCTTTGTTCAGTACATTAGCATCAGAACAGGTAAAAAGGAACTGCGTTGCTGATAATCAAATCCGTCTCTCTTAAGAGGTAACCACCATCAAAACAGAAAGGCTGGAGGTCCAAGACTGAAAATACTCATTTCTACCTTTACTGGCTGTACTAAAATGACGGAAAGAACTCATTTCAGAGAGGAGGAACTCACCATGCTGGTAGTGCTGTTCCACAGCCACATAGGCAGCCAGAAGGTTGACAAGGACAAGAGAAGCGTGGCCCCGGACACCACCCTCGAAGCGTCGCGCGAGATCAACCAGACGCGAGGTGAGTTCTTTGTAGGCGGCGATGGAGGCGTCGGTGACAGCAGGGCGTTTCGGTGCACCCGCCTCGATCACGCGGAGGATACGCTCTGATGGGAAGTTTGTGAGTACTGAGGTGAGTTGATTGGAGTAGGATGCGGCGATGGAGCGTAGTGATTGCTCCACGGCAATAGGGAGGCGGCCCGAGAGCTGGGCGATCAAATCCTGTACGTAAAGCAAATGTAGATTAAAACTCAACTACCCTGTTATGACAAAACGATACATGCCTTAGTTACATCGTAATGATTTGAAATTTGTTTTAATAAGCAGTTAATCATAGGAGCTTTTCAGCATTTGCGGACTATACTTCTCCACAGCATAGCTCTCCGGTAATATCTACACCTCCTCTCCTGAACCCTTTTGTAAGTTAATAAACCGTCTTCCACAATTTAGTGGCCCAATACCAATTCAGCGAAGACTCGGGACGCCATGGTATACCTAAACACAAAGGGGCTCAAGTGCCCGCAGTTTCAGCCTTATTCTTGAAGTCATGGCATCCCGCCTACACTCAGCGTCTTAGTCCTTTTTGAGATAGTAGTAAATCTCGCCCCATACCGGTATATCGAATACGTTGTTAGTGAAAGCTCAGCCACTATTCCATTGCAGAGCCATGCGTAGAACTATGAATATCGCACGGAAGATGGAGAAGTGAACGAGCAATGGGCTGAATAGATTGACTCCAAGTCAGGATGCCTTCATACTTTAGGTGTCAAATTTATGGGTCTAGGCTAAATATGAAAACAATAACTTCCAGTAGGTAAAAGTGCATGGGTCACCCTCAATTTCTAACACTACCGATGCCTAAACTACCCATACGAATTGAAAAAGTTGAACTTTAGAGTAACATGGCCATACCGTACCCTGTTTAAGTCCGTAGCCAATTTGTACAAAAAACTATTAAAACTGTTTTAGCAAACTGGGACCAAATGATACGTCCTAAGTGAAAAAAAAAAAACGAATATGGAGAAATTGCATGAAACGAAACGCATGAGGAATTCAAACGATTTATTAGAAAGGAAATAAGACGGCATAAAAGGAAATTAATACGAAGCTATCTGAGAAGAGGGACCACAGTAGAAACCTTTATCATGGAGACTAGACAAATGCACATTTTTCATTAAGGCCAACAACTTATGAAAATAATAAAATATGGCAAACCAATAGTGCAGAAAGATGTGTGATAAGACCACTAGAGTACAGGAAAAGGTGAAAAAGTACAGACTATGACATAAAAAAGTTCTGCTAAAAAAGGAGAATCGCATGACTAGTAGACAGAAAGCTACAAGAGAATAACATGAAAGGGAAATGTCACTTGGACAGAAAGCGTGATGTTAGACGGGGGGTTCAAATTAGGGTTGACTTCAATTATGCACAAGAGCACTGCAAAATCAGCAGCCAATCGACAACAAAGGAAACAGACAAAATATGTCGATGGCAAATCGCTTCCACTTCTGCCACAAAGTTATCATATCAGGATCTTTTTAATTCTACTAATCCATATTAAGGAATAACTTTTGTCCAAACAATGAGCAGAAGTTATGAACAGTGCCCGCAAGTTATTGAAAATAACCTAGCAAATCATTTTTGTCATTTCGCTACAATTTTGCGGTACAAAAAGACGACAACGAAAGTTAGTACTCAAAAATAAAAGGATGGAAACACAAAGTATCAGATATTACTGAATATATTGGAAATGCATTAAAAAAAGAATAATACTATGCCTTAGAAGTGAAAGCTCGCATACCGATTTAGAGAGCTGAGTTGATAATTTAAGGCTCCGATCATTACATTGTGGCAAAACGCTACTTATTTTACAGGTCTATTCAGCCACCGAGAACCGACCTCCAGGCTCTAACCATGTCGGCAATGGGTCACTCATTCTGCAGCACTTCGAAGCGTTGATACCAAAGCTGCCTCCAGACGTGCACGCTCTACATTATTACCAGGAGTGACCAGATTGCCAAAATGATGACCATGAAATGTTGAAATTAAACTACAAATTTTAAAATACACCCACTTACTCCTAGCTCGAGAAGTAGCCCTAGTCAGGCTGCCTGTCTCTCAGCTCCTGTTTTGAAAAAAAATTGGTAGTTCTGGAAGTGGAAGTGACTCAAGCAACACAGTAGTGATTATGGGTACACCAGAACAAATCGAAGTGGCAAGTATTCGGAGAGTGGCAAAAAATTCAAGAATATAAAGTTATTTTCGCAGCCATGAACTAATGTTTACGCCAATCGTATCACCCTCCACTCACTTCCAGTTCAAATAGAGGCAGATTAGGGTCGCGGAGACATTGAAACAGTTCATCCAACTTAGGCTTGAGCCAGTCGGAGAAAAAGGGTTCAGGGAGAACGTAGCCTAAAAGAGCCTCCTCCAGTTCGCGCAAACATCGAGTGAAGGTGCGATGGACGGCAGAACCAGTGGTAGCGGCGAAGCCGTGAGACTGAGGGGATGCGGAGACGAGGGAAGTGGTGGCGTCGAAGCCAGAAAAGACGCCCTCATCACTGAATGGGCCGTACGAGAGCGAACTTATCGAGGGCACCATGAAGTCCGACGAGCTATAAGTGTCTGCCGCCCCTTCAGTGGCGTGCACTGGAATCAACTGGCCACTTCACGAGGAAAGATAGAAAGTGGATAGCATTATTAAGATCGTGGTGGAATTCCGCAGGTCTGGACTACCGAAGATAAGTGTTTATGATGATTCAGTCTAATTGTTTTGATGATGAATCGAAGCGGCAAAAGTCCATGATGCCAACGACCGTACCCGTAGTGAATTAGGCGGTTCCTAACCCTGGAATCACTAAAAGATAAGACTATCGTGAATCAATCCTTAGTCGAAAAGGGCCGAGAATTTTTTTAAATATTGGGCCAGAAAATTTGAAAGGCTTAGGTATTTTGCCTTCCACTAAGAGGATCGCTTCAAGGAAGAGGAGGCAAAACGGGGATCATCGAGATTTTAGGGAATCCTATTCAATCTAGGTGCACGATTATTGAAATTTGAAGCTTCTTTAATCTGGACAGATAGGATCCAATTTCACCTAATTCTTTTCTTTTAAATTCCCGAGGCCTGTGCTTATATTGATTCAGTTGAATTTCTTCTAAGGAAAATGAGATTTAGTTATGCCAGCGAAATGTCCCAGGTCTAAAATGCCAAGAAGTACATTCACAATAGATGGATCTGTGTACTTTACAGCCGCATTTCCCGTTCTTCCACACGTGGTGGTTGGCTCAATCTTCACGATCATTGAAACCAACAGCAAAAAAGCTTCCTCCTCTTTGGTTTTGTAAATCTAAACTACGTGGAGCCATGTCTGCAGTTATTCACATTAATTTACACAGCTAAAAAGAGATATTTTCAATTTAGAGGCTAGGATGCAAACAAGAGCAAATCGGAGGATTCAGGCGGAACAAAAGCCAAAAACTTTATACTGAAAGCCGCAAATCATTGCAAGCGGAGTGATAGAGGAAAAAAGCAAAATACCGTGGATTTATTAATGACTTCCTTGCCTGTAAATGAAAGAAAAATCAGCGTTTGTAAGCTCAGATATATTAAAAAAAGATGATTAGGTGATTATTGTAATTCTTCCGGTACTGTTTACACTAAGCGATATGCGTAACTGAAGCATTAAAATGCAAGCATGCTGTAGATATTTACAAACAAATTCAGAATGTTCTCACCACTGTCGAAAGTCTACTCAAATAAGGTGACATTGGACCGGAAAACCGCAATAGGCCTAAGATTTTTTCCATTAATATATATTAACAAATCGGCTAAATTACGTCGACCAGAAAGTAGTTTTTCGACGCATTATAAGTCCGTACTGCTAAGATACATTCTTGGAATGAGCGGTTCTAAACGATTTAGTTCTACATTTGTGGCGAGAATCCAGGTCAAAGGGGTAATTCCTCATCTTTACTATCATTAGGAAATAAATTTAGGGTTAATGGAAAAATAAGATATGTAAAGTTCCTGCGCTTCTCTTCATAGCAAGTGTGTGAAAAAAGTGGGGAAGATATGGAAAATCTAAACCTTCAGCATAAAAATAACTAGTGTTTGTGGTAGAAAAGGTCAATCCTATTCACAATGTTTGACTTCTAACTTGAAAGAGACATTTTAAAGCGGTGTAAAGAACAACTGTTGCGTGGTAACAATCGAACACTTTCAGTTCTAGTAAAATAGAAGAAAATAAATGGACAGTTATTTTGCAATTGCTTCCAAACAAATGCGCGATGACACCGCAGTAAGTCAGTTTGCACAAAACGCACCCAAATGCGTGAAAAACACTTCAGTCAATCACACAGTATGGAGGAAAGTGATTAGCTCATGATGGCGCCTCCAAACGTAACCCACTCTACCATAATTCAGCTTTATTAAACTAGAATGAAATTTTGGCTATTTCAGATAGGATGGATTTACGTGAAGAGTTCGAGATTCTGACACTGTTGTGGATCGTCCAGCTGGAGTCTTCCAATGGGTGCTCCGGTCTCAAGGATGGCACCAACACTACGAAGGTGAAAGAGCACACCGGAGGCCGGAGTCCGCAGTTCTAGCACCAACTTCATCACCTCAACCAAGGCATAGACCTCGTTCTCGAAGACGTGGCATCCGTCGCCGACGATGTACTGCACCAGTTTCCCTGTGGATGGCGACCTAGCAGAGTAAAGAAAAAAGAGAAAGTTCAGATGACATATGCTCCCACCCCTGCCAATTCACTAGTTTATTGAGGTAGAGGTCGCCTTAGCTATTCAAAAGCGAACGTTTACGAGTCAAAGGGCTTTTGTAGACATTAAATGCAAACACGAGCTTGACGCTTAGTTCCAAAAATCAAATACCGCGTTCGCGATACAGCCATTTCCATTAAGCCAGTTGCGTGGAAATACTACTTTTACAAATATACGCAATCCAAGTTTGAATTTAAATTGGCCCAATTGACAGGTACAATATTACACCGTAGTTTTCCCGACGTTTTAGTAGGAAACTGTTGTGACTCCAAGAAATGACCCTTCCTAAATACCACCGAAAGGAAGCTGCAGCTCTACTTTAGGAAAGAATTTGCAAGGAACCCCCCCCCCCCCTTATCTATCCAGCAGGTCCAGAGCACTACCAGAGAAAATCGCATCTAAGCAGTGCAAGCCGTGTATATCTCCACACACTTTCTGGACAATAGGATTGATACAACGTCCTACAATACCCAGACTTTGGAGACAATCATTAAAACCGAAAGCAAGGAAGTTACTTGGATGAAGTCCCACACATTACAATGAGATGCTATTCCATTTCACACAATCTTTATTATCTGGGAGGGCGTTTCCGAAGAGTTTCGATACGTTACCCGCAGCATTTGGCAACCCTACTCTCTCGAAACAAAATACTTGGACTAATATGCTTGCGTCATCGGGGAAGGGTGATAAGAACAAAAATATTCACAACATCGAGAATCCATTGATGTTTGATACTTGTGGCGTGGCAATGCCAGTGGGAATGAAGTGTCCAATTTCCTCAGGCACTCGTTGGAGTGTCAGCAATCCCGAAATGTTCCATTATGATCGTTCTTACCCTGGTTACCAGGATAGCGCATCGTCACTACCTCCAAAACATTATTTTGTGATTACAGCATTCTGATTAGCCGTCTCTAGCACAGTTGTCGAAAATTTGTATTACAGAGAAAGTATTAACTAATGATGAAATGTAAACTGATGAAATAGTGACTGGGTTCCAAATTAATGCTACGATATTCGAAAAGGTAGAATCGACAATACATGTTCAAAACCGTTCTCCCTTACTGTAGAATAACATGTTTTAGGTTGTGAAAAATATGCATGTACCGAAAAAGCCGATTCGTGCCATTTTCTACGTTCAGTCACTATCCGGAAATAAATGATTGCAACTTCAAGTCAATGAATTAAAAGTGGAGGATGCCTACGGTGAGCAAATGGACAAAAGAACGGGACTGAGCTTGTCGGCAAGTCGCTGACATTTATATCAAAAATGGTTTTCAAGACAGCAAACTCACTGACGATACACTGACCACACAAAAGTTATTAATATATGAGCTTCACCCGCTGTAGAACACCATCCAGTCCTTGGCAATGACTTCCAAGTAAATTCTTCCAATGTATTTTGTCTGAAACATGGTAGATGAGCTCTATCTACATTAATGAATTCAAAAATCTTACTTTGGTGGAATATCAGAATGATGAGGCTTACAGACGTATCCCTTACAACTCCTTTAGAAGCGATGGAGAACTCACAGACCTAGGGAAATTTCCTATATTCTTTAGGGCCACTCTCTTTCCTCCTCTCAAAACAGAAAGAGATAAAAAATTACCGCAGGATAGACGGATCACATTCCTTTGAGAAGACCACAGTACGGTTGTCAATAACGGTGCGATAGCCCTGCGCATCCTCTTGACAGTAGGTCATGTAGGAGGAAGACTCGTGGTTGATTAGCAGACCGTCACCGGACATTCGAAGCAGCTCAACCGATTGGAGACCGCCGTTGGTTATTAGGTGGAATGATGTCTTACCTGTGCGGATAACCTAAGAGAAAAGAGGCGGTACCAAGCAGAAAATCAGGGTTCTGATTGTCGACTGAACCTTGTAATTAGTTTGACTTGAGGATTCTGGGAGTGAATAAATGCAATCTTTTATTTAAAGAATCGCTGAAGTCTATTAATAGCATTTAAAAGACAATAACATTGCATCTTAAATCATATAAACCTGACTAAGTGTGAATATGAGCTAATCATACCGATGTCTTCCCCGTTATAACATGAATAAATACCGAAACAAATAGATCATAATCATCTTTCGCTTCGAGGCTAAGCGCCAAATTACGGAATTCAGATTTCAAAAAGAAACAGGCAATACTGAATTTGAGATATGGGAATTCACATTTCCTACAACTGCTTCAACCACCATCTTTTTGTTTCTGTACCTTTCCTTTCAATTCCAAGGTCTGGAGTGTTCTGTATCTGCCGCACCGGTATAACGGGCATTTTAAAACTTTCCAATGTTCATAAAGGCAGCGAGAGAGAGATCTCTAAACCCTTGAATGATCAAACACGCCAGCAGATAAGAATAGGGGCATTTTGTACCTCTTCACGCAACACTATTTTCCTCCAATGTGGTATGGGCATATGTTTTAAAGCCCTCTACTCTAAAACGACAATTCTGCATTACAGGATAAAACCGATAAAATAAAACGTCTCAGATATAAAAATGACCGCTCCTTCTTCCACCACCCCCCAAAAATGATACCAGGTCCAAATGCTGTACAAAACTTGCAAATACCTCCAGAAATTAAGCAGCGTTATACCAGTTTTACTATACGTCAAAAACGTGGTTTACTTTAAATCGAAACAATTAATTTTGAGGGTAAGCCTTGCCTTTAATTCATAAAAACAAGAAAGATTCGAACAAATAAATGAACCTACTATTAAGAGCCTACCTGATTTGACGATAAACTGATCTGACCAAACACAAGTGGTCACGGTTCACGGTCATGCACGGCTGTCTCAATATTTTTAAACGAGTATGCAAGCTTTACATCGAGTAAGAAACTTGCAACTTATTAGAGAAACGGTTTGTATAAGGTTTGAAGTCGAGTTAAAGGTGGTCCTATGAAATTGCACTTTACCGGTGCTGGGTCGTACACTTAACCTGATTTAAGTTCCTTTCAAATAGCTGTAAGCATATACGAGACCTCGGGGTGATGCATAACCCCTATTTTTTCCTTTCAAAAGAACGCAAAAATGGCAAAACAATTTGATAAATCTACCGTTAAAATGAGCCGCAGTGTTTGGATTGATTTAAATCATTTAAAGGATAGTTTGAAAGCACAAAATTCAGTGCTATAGAGAAAGTGACGACTGAAAGCGCGATTGAAGTGCTACAGTAGAAAGTAATCTTCACACCAACTGGATACGCTGGAGCATACTCAAAGCACAAGCCTAATCGACGAGCAATAGATCGCCTTTAGCGCAGTAAAGTCGAGACAGAATTGGCATTTACGTATGATTGGGGATAAAAAAAGTTCGGCACATACAAAGATAGCTAAAATTTCACTGAATTAGGTTTAGTGAAAGAAAAATCAACGCATTTTACGCAATTAGAATACAGTAAATAATAGTTAGGACGACAAGTTGATTTGTGAATTCCATTCCCAGTCGAGATTCCAGATAAATAGGGCTAGTGAACAAAGAAGGGCAACCAAATTCCTCACCTGCAGAACATACTTGATGCCGTCTGCGATCAGAGTGACGTCCACAATGTTGCTCAACTCGTTAGTGGGGATGAACTGACCTCTGCAATTGGCCCCCAAAAAACAAGCACATTAGACAAGTGAGTCAAAGAGATATAATTGATGGTAACGCTAGAGTAGACACCTTTCAACATGAGCGTGAAATGTCTTGTTGGCCTTTTCGAGAGCATTGTAGCCAATGTGAAGGGCAGTACACATCACCCCCAACAGCACATCCGGTTTGTCGGGCTAGAAAAGTGAACAATAGGTGACAAACATTATTACATTCTTTTGTGGATCAATGGGTAAGTTAAATTCCAATATAGGAGCTTACTCGATCCTTTTGAGCAATAAGACGGTCAAGCCACGCGGTATCAATTTCATTGCGAGTATAGGCATCTGATTCAAGGATCTTGATGAGGTACTCCACCGTGGTTCGAAAATCACCGCGAATCAGGAGTTCTCGCAATGCAAGTACCATGTTCCTAAGTAGGAAGGACCAAAAGGTTTGGATTGCAGATACATTAAACCCTTCGAGCCTAAAGCATATGCCAAAACCTTAAAGGATAAGGTGTGAGCCAGTACAAATCAATGGGTGCATTCAGCAGGAAAGATTAATAATAACTTGAACGGAATATATGTAGGCAACTTCTCAATCCAAACCACACATCAAACATTCTAGCGACTTTGATTTAAAACTTAAACGCCTTCCAACCGTGAAAAGTGAAAAGGAGATGGAATACACTGCGAATACTAGTAGTGATATGTCAAACACCAAGATTGATAAAAGGTTTGCGATGTTTTGCATCGCCATGGCAACAGTTTAGACGAAAGGTGTAACGGTAGTTGAGTCCGTCATGTGACTAGTTCTGCCTGGCACGTAGACTGTCTACGCGAGCCGCGGTGATAATTGGTATCATGGGGTAAAATTAGTCGGAAAATTACATACAAATTGTATCCAAGTGGCGAATTGGCTTTCGATCACGCGCTGAATACTATGGCAGCGCAACAATGTACCGGAATGACAAGTACATTTCCATCTGCGTTTGCACCACGGGGGTAATCTTCAAGTTGTCCTCTACGAGTAGATCTAAATTCAAAAACTGCTGTAGTGATGTTGCAGTTGCAAAGCTACCGAGGTTTTCAGCGGGCCACATTCATGATCACAAGAAATTGCAGGAAGAGACCTAGAATTGATTCTTGGAAGCAGAAGAGTACCATTTGGGGTTGCACAAGTTTCACACATTTCTTCATTCCAGGATTATGAGCATAACACTCAGGCACGATCAATTGCTACGGGAGACGCCTCAAGATGACCTCAAACACTAATAAGTGACAGAAGTGGAAAGTGTATTTGAAGGTTATTAACTTGGTAAAAAACGTCTCACTCCAAGCAGAAATCGTGGGTAGACATGAAAGCAATAGATAGCTCCTGGTTGAGGAAGTCGATAGGTCTTTTGATGTCACTTCCAGGTGCGGAAAAAAACTTTAGCAAGAAAAGATTAGACACTGAAGAATGACCCAAACGAAGGATGTTAATCAATATGGTGTTTAATAAGCATAGTTAGCTTTCCCTTTAGCTTGGATGAAAAAATTGTCAAAAAACACTCCGCTCCCGAAGGTCGATGGATTATTTCAGAAGCATTTCCTGGCACCAGAGCATACTGGCCAATGGGCCGAAATGTTAGAGATTCAGCTATATCAAACTATGCGTTAAAGTTGAATATTTAACTATGCGACCTCTTTAGCCTCCAAAAGAGTTCCGGCCATCATATTTTGATGTCATGGTTCTCCGTTCACGTTATCTAGACTAATCAATCAGCCCTTTCAAAGAGGACTTGGACACCATATAGGCATGTCTAATAACTAGAGTATTCACTGGGAACGGAAACACGAAAGGATTAGGTTCTGAAGGCTCTTCGCAACGCTGGATATAACTAGCCGAGATCCATGAAAGAAGCATGAACAGTCTTGTGCCTGGTGGGAATAAAACAAAAATTTAGAAGCCGTGATTTAAGGGAAATAGGGAATCATATCGAAATCATTTCTAGGGATCAGTCAAAGGAAATGACAGAACTACAAGACTAGGAAAATCGAAAACCGCTGAATTGAGAGGAAGTAATATAAAGAGTACCCACTCCCTGGCTTCCTCCCGCGAGGCCTCGGCAGAAAAGCAATGCCCAAACTGAGAGTCAGCGAATTCATGGATCCCACCCACAGTGCCGACACTGAAGTACCCCCACACAGACCGACTGCTCTTGAAGTTGAGCTCAAAGACGTCTCCGGAGTGCGGCTTAAAGCCCTCGTCAGGATCCTCGCTGGTGATACGCACCGCGATGACGTGTGAGGATGGTGGGTTGCGGAGGTGAAGGTTGTTGCTGAGCGACATGGAGTAGTCAGAGGATTGAGAGAGGCCAAATAACTGGCGAATATACTTGATCTGGATCAACGGCAGGCCCATTGCGATCTATAGGAAACAACGAATGACCACTTTTGTGGGACACACTGCGTCAAAAGCCGATATCAAATAAAAACTGCATATGAAATTGCAGATACTTTTGGAACTAACTCTAAAATTCTGGTCTCTAAGGGTTTGAGTTTTCAAATCTAAATTAACGTGCCTGAAGTTGACAGGCAGGTAAGTTGACGCCGGAGATGACCTCTGTGCAAGGATGCTCCACTTGAAGACGGGGATTAAGTTCCAGGAAGAAGTACTCCTGAGTTTCGGGATTGTAAAGGTACTCCACTGTGCCAGCACTGCTATAACCCACAAGTTTTGCTAGATGAATGGCGTCCTGAAAGGAAAGACGTTCGTTCTACTTATCTACAGTACCACGCGAGCTTGCAAATCTGCACTCACGTTGATGGTAAGGAGTTCACACATTTCACCCGTACCAAGTCAAAAGATTTACGCTTAAAACAGTGAGCTGAAGATTGGTACTTATTTTAATTATGCATGCACTTACGGGTACGTTTGTCTTAACTATGCTAATAGCCCCTCTAACACTTGCGTGCAATAAATAACGCTACTTCCAGAGCTTCACCTCTCAAAACGTCTTCAGGGTATAAATTTGGCTCTAGAACAGGGACCATCGTGAAAATAAGGAGGTACGAATAAGCGACTTCTCTGTCCCATGACCTCCATGCCACCTGCACTAACTTTATATTCCTTGCATAAGCCTAAAATGAAACTAGTAAATTAAACCCATAAGAAGGTGGAAGGATGACTTGCCCGTTCCATGGCGTCAAAGACGGCCTTGGGGGCGACCACACAGGGCGCCTCCTCGAGGATCTTTTGATGGCGTCGTTGGACAGAGCAGTCACGCCCGTAAAGACTGATGGCCTCGCCATATTGGTCAGCCAGCAGCTGCACCTCCAAGTGGCGCACCTGTTCCACGCACTTCATCACGAAGATCGGTGACTCCGGAACCTCGCTTTGCACCTGCAAAGGAGTGGGAGAGGAACGTACCAGATATGAATAAATTGCAAATTGGGAACTGCCATTGGCCTACGGAGGCAGCTGAAGCTCAACTTGCACCTGCGGTTCGATGTCTTTCAAACGATGAGCTTCTTGGCAGTACTACACCTGAATGCGGGGGCACGTCACGTGATCCAGACTAGCCACTGTTAATGAGGAAGGCATGCAACATCAGCAGTGCACGAATAGACCAGTGTGTTGAGATTGTTGCTTTTGAAAGAAGGTATGAAGGCAATGAATAATTATGCCTACAGAAGACTTTAGGCATAGTGGAACTTTCAGCAGTAAAATATTCAAGTGTTGTACACCAATTAGGGACAGTCGGACGTGCGGTAGTGAAGACCTCGGTTGCGACAGTTTCCAGACTGCAGCAACTACTCACCCGACCAATCGTTCCAAAGCCGATTTAATGCTAATAAGTTTCAAACTTCAATTTCTCATTTGTGGTAATTTTTTTGCTGCTGGTCGCCGGTAATAAATCAGTTGTTGAAATGATCGCTAAACCGCGCAATCGAGAGTGGTCGAGACGGGTACATGCAGTGCCAAATTAATTGCTGCACTGCTTTTATGATCAGATAACATAACTATTTAAAGCCACAGTTACTGACCTTAATCAAGAAGCACAATGAAGTACCGAACGAGGATAGTAATCAGTTATTCAAACCCTACTTGAGCCTCCTAACCAATCATTTTCAAACCCATAAAAACCACAAACTGGCTTAGATGAATACGACCAAGTGTCGGAAATCACTCAATAATTAGTGGACGAACCAGTCTGATAACATGTTTGTTAAGAGCTAAATAAGTAAACGAATGCAGTAGACAAAACTGCTTAAAATGGGGTTCGAATTACTAACTGGGTCCAGCAATGACTACACTTCCAAAAGTACTTAGCCATTTGAAGGAACAAGCCAACAAGGCATGGAAGCCGAGTAACTGAATGGATGACTTCACCAAAATGTACTAACGAATAAATAAACAAGCATCACAGGAGAGTTTAGCTATTTTAGCATCAAGGGCACGAACCCTTAATGTGTAGTGTGATGAGCTACAACAGGTGCTGGCTGTCGGCAGCAAACAAGTCATTGTTTTACATATTACAGTAAGGCAAAACCATCAATAGTACTTTTAGCAAATACATAATGACCAATTAATGCTTACAATAGCCCCTCACTCAAGATATTTCTCAGCAAATTTGGTGGGAATAAAATATGGATCATAGTCGAAGCCACCAAGGGAAGAAGATGAAAGCAATGGTTGACAAGAATCCGCTGATAACCCGCCAACCAATCCGAAATGAAAGGATGCAATTAATGCAAAAGGACCGAAATAGTAAATAAAAAAAATTAGGGTTGAGCGTAGCCTCTTGAAGTTGGAGAGGAGAAATGCATTCCTAAACAAACGAGAACGAGGAAGAGGCGGGAGAAGAATCGACTAGTAATGGGCGTGTCATGTGTTCGCGCGTGTGATACATTCTAAACCACAACCGTCTGTTAACAAGAAAAGGAAACTGAAAGGAATCTGGATGGTGCCTGGTTGAAAGTTTTCAGAGGCGAACGAGTTTAAAAAGCTAAGGATGGATTATGGTTAAGGAGTAAGATCTATTTTAAACCGCAAAGAGCTAGGTAACATGAAAAGCAATAGTAATACCACAAACTAAACATGGATTTTGTTGCGAAGATTCAAGCTGCCACAAATAACACCATCGTCCTGCAGGTATGCTATCAATGCAATACAGGTAATTGATTTACCTGGAGAAAACTAAATTTGGTTATAGATAGACTCAAAGATGCATAGTTGGATCTGCTTAGGACATCAAAAAAAAGTCTGTCCCGATACGCTTGTACTAGTAAGTATTAACACCAGTATACCTCAAATGAATGGCAGAGGTCTAAATGAATAAACCATATTCTACCTGCATTGATGTAAAGCGATGGGGGAACTTTGGTCTGTGCTTAAATTACAGTTTTAGCAATACTACGTCAGCAGGTGGCGAGAAAATCCGTCCGCGTTAGAGAAGAAATGAGGTTTAATCGCATTCTGACGTAAATCAGAGAATATTTTCCGTTAGTTCAACACCAAAGCAATCTGTAACCCAATTACTTCCACCACATGAAGCGTGGTGAAGTAAAATTTTGTCTCCAAGAGAAAAAAAACAAAATTCAACCAACCTTGTGGAAACTTGAGGAGAAGATGGTAGATACTAATACCGAAAATGCGTCTGAGGATGGCGAAATAATAGTGTTCAGAAGAAGCAAAAAGTGAAAAGACGATTTCGACAGTTATGACGAAGTGTTTGATTGAATTGCTAAAGAAGTGATTTCGCTGAAAAGAAGTTGACAGTTCAAAGTTTTGAAGATCGAAGCCACAGTTTAATTTTGTAAATCATGTTAAAATACCGGTTAGAGACGCTTAATACTTGATGTAAGTAACAAGTCGCATGCGGTGAGCTCAAAATGAGGGTTCCGTTGCTGCACATCCGCCGGGTGGCTTGATCTTATGGCGTAGCCAGAAGACCCCAAATTCTTCTGTACGTCGACAATACATATTCTACCCGCACATTGTCTTCTTCGGTCTTCGCTACAGGTTCACTTTAAAAACTAGAGGATTCCCAATTTGTTTATTTTCCAAAGGTTAATAAAGGTCAAGCAAGAGGACATATAACCTAGCAATAATAAGGATTACAAAGTTAGCTTATTGTAACACACTGATAAGTTCATGCAAAACAGTCACATTGAGATAGAGTTGGTAAAGAATTGGGAGTTTTTTGTCTGCCACATGCACAAATGAAGGAAAAATGTTTTCGATTCTATGATAAGATTAAGTTTTTGAATAACGCATTTTTCAGAGATAATCTGACAGAACGATTGCAACGAGCAAAATATTTCACATACTCCACTTTAAAGTGTTTTAGCAATAAACGAAGCCGTTAAGAAAACTAGGAAAAAAGCTGAACCTAAAACTCGCATTTTTTTCTAATGAATAAAACTGAAGAGAGAAAATACTTGCAAACACGCTTCGGTTGCACTCACAAGAGGAAGTAGAGGTAATTCGGACGCTGTTTAGTAAGATTAGAGGGACTTCAAAAGGCGTATCACTCGGAAGTTACAAGGAACACCAAAGCTTTCCTTCTTAGTCTTACAAATTAACTGACTAATGACAATCCACCAGAGAGTTCACAAAAAAAACACCGAAATAGTTTGAAAAAAAGTATATTTTGCCGAAAGGGAATCTCTTAATGATCGTGTTTCCAAAAGGTTTATCTGCTTCAACCAATTATACGTAAATACTAAAAACACCTGCTATTCTCCTATTACTTTCACGAATTCAAACACCAAAGCTAGCTAAAACCGATTTTGGTCAAAAGCCAAAAATAAAACAAAAAATAAAGGGAAGATTCAAGGAGACCTAATGAGGCGCACCTGATTGAAGAGTGCAGCAACATCCTCAGCACGACTAACACGTCGAATACCCTTCCCACCACCACCCTCCGAGGCCTTGATCATCACTGGGTAGCCAATGCGATCAGCCACCGTTTGGCACTGCTCCGCCGTCTTCACGCAGGCGTTCTCAAAGTTGTTTGCCGAGATGACCTGTGATACCAATAACAAATTGGGTGGCCCTGCCGTCATCGTTGGCTCTGTTAACGCTGGCTTCTCCAGGTTTTCGATGTTCACAATGATGTCTGTGGAGGGGGAAAAGAGACAGCTCTATCGCTAACTTGCAATGCGATATGATGTCAAAAGTCCACAAAAAACGGATATGTGGCAGCAAATTCGCTGAGAAGTCCTAAGCTCTTTAGAGTAACCGAAATCAACCAAGCTCAATCAAAACCCCAAAGGACTATTCAACTTATTCGGTTAAAAGTGGATTAACCCTCGGAATGTACCGCGATATGAGTTGGGTACGGCAATAACATTGACTACTAGTGTGTAGGTAATTACGTAATATGCATTAAAGACCAGAAGACAGAAAAATCAATACTCATGGACAGTAGATAAACCCCTTTTGACAATTATTGTAACCTACACAAATCAAATTGCGGGGGTGAATGAAATATGCTAGCCGCAAGTATTGAAAAAGGTGTAGTAAAACGTGACCAGTGCTCCAAGGTGCCTTTCAGAATTGTCAGTTACGGTCGAGCAAAAAAACACGTTAAGAATAACGAAGTTAGAAAACAATGCCCCATTTGAACTGATGTTCACAACTTCACTGCAAAGATACCCAACGATTTCTTAAAACGAGTAAAATGCGCCCGTTTGTGGGCAGTACGGTTTCAGCCCACAGCTAATCCATCCCTTAATAACGGGAAACGTAGAAGATACTAATCAGAATAGAAATACAACATTTCTACCTCTAACGAGAGGTTAAACAAATAAAATACACCCAACAAAGACTGAAGCTCAATCAAGAGTGGCAAAATTACTGTTTAATTAAATATCCACCCTCAGAGAGTTGATGTTCATTCTTCTTCTTAGAAGAAATAGCTTGGCAAGTTAATCACTCAATTGCACACAGGCAATTTCGCCAATTAATAAATAAAAGAGGACTTGCGGGAGCCACTCCACGGAACAGTTGGAATACCAGCGCTTTGGGCAAGGATGGTCGAAGCAATTTTGTCACCAAGAGCCCACATAGCCTCGTGCGAAGGACCTAGGCGAGAGAGGACAGCAGGATTGATCTGATTTCCCAATGTTGATAATGATGACAGAGTAAGCAAACTACATGAAGGCCCACCAAGTCGGAATACACAGCGTACGCATGGAATAAGATTGTCACCTTACTGACGCGATTCATTCAAACCTACTGGTCTTATTAAGCGACAGCAATGAACGGAAGAAGAGGAGTGTGGTGTTACTTGAGCTGTGGTAAATCTGCTGCAGCACTAGCGGAGTGGAGACACGCCACCACGAGTGATGGATTTTATGCGTTCGTGGTAGTCACCCCAACTGCAACCCTGCGCAATGCTCTAGTTGTATCGACACTTGAACTGCCAAAATGACCCATTCAACTGTTCCTCATAAAACAGAACGTCAAAAAGGATTCTCAGACTACGGGCACCTAACAGCAACTTATTCAGTTTTAAACCCAACCAATCTGTTTAAGACACACAAATGGGTGTAACCAATTAGTACCACATGTCAGCACATAATACACTTGTGAGGTGTGAACTCAGGATGAGGAAGTCGAGGCGTAATATTCATGCGATGATGGTGGCAATCAGTTTGCGGATAACCACTTTTGGGGTCGGAGGATATTCTACTGCGATTGAATATCGAATGTTAATCGTGCCCAATGGAACACTTGCCCAAAAGGCAAATTCCCTAGTCTAAAATGGTTTCTTGGTGTTTCACTTCTTTTGCCTCCATTGGCATTTAAATGCCACTTAGCAATCTTCCTATTATCATCAGTTTCTTCTTCCTTGTAGTCTTATTAAAGTTTTCCGAGTTGTTTGCTCTGCTACTTTCTAATTAGCCGAGGCCATTTTCCGAGCATATTGCCGCAGACTCGGCCAGCAGCAGACATGTATTGATTGACCGTCCATAAGGAGATAAACCCACTTCAAAGAATCAGTGGAAGCGGTCTTGTGCGAAAAAAAGTACTAATCAAAACAGATTCCCAACGAACGTTCGTTTATCAAAACCTTAGTAATAATAACCCAAGTTCGTGTACTTTTGTGCTCCAGAGCAAGCCGAGGAATGTTCCGAGTTGTACAGCACAGTGGCAAATTTCCATTCAACTAGCATGATGAGTACAAGAACCTGTCAAAGGTTGTCACAGTTAGTCCAAAAAGAAATTCTGCTTACAGAGCTGCGCTGCCGCCATTTTGAAAATGTCACACGTGAAATTTCCATACTTTCGCAGAGTCGTTCCTTGCAAAAAGAAACTTCTACTTTTGAGCGCTCAAAAACAATATCTTTTGATACTTTCTTTAACAGCATGAGATATGCGTGATGCCCTGATTTTCTCACCTGAGTCAACACCCCACAAATGCGACATGTTCTTTATTAGTTTGTGGCAACTGATTACACCAGATCTTGTATCGCACAGATTGATCGAGTTTAAAACAAGTACATTGATTTTAAATGGTCTTGGTCTGAGAAACGCTACGCTGAACTGGTCATTTCAGTAGTCCGAATGTTGGTAACACACTAATGGAATGCACAAAACCTGGGAAGTGGTGGCCGGATACTCTCTAAGACACTGGACGGCACACTGCTACAAGGAAAGCTGAAGCAATCGGGATTTTACAATCTTAAAAAAAAACGTAATCAGATATCGCGAGAAAAAAAACAGTAATTAATGGTCAAAGAGGTTCGCACATACGTGGGGACTAGCAAAGGACTACCTAGCATAAAGTAATTGACGGCGAAGGGAAAGACGCAAATCAATGCTAATGAACCGAGTGTAAATGAAGAAATTCTCACCTAGAAAGGCAATATTGTGTTTAGCAAGGACTTCGGGGAGTTGAGGGTTCTCCGAGGCATGTCCCCAGCCAGCCCAGACAGCCTGAGGACAGAATAAACGGATAATCGGTTAACGACGCTGCAGTAGACACGTGTTTGAACTGTATATATGACTACAAGGATCTATTCAAGTCCACATGATTTGGTTACCAAGCTGGTGGCATGGAGCTATGCCAATAGTTCAGAAAGCCTTCTACACGCCTATAATGAAGCTATCTTTAGAGGTAACTCGGGTGCTGATTCCACTTTTGACTGGCTATACATTACGCCAAAAAGTCCCGAAATGGATGGCTGAATGTACATGAGCTCACAACAGAAAAGCTATCGGAACCGCGCCGACTTTAGCAAAACATCCCAATCCCAACCTCTGCAAAAATGACCAGGTTTGAACGAGTGCTATGAACACTGACTTATGATTATTGTCTGAAGATCCGGTACCTCTCATGTTGCATTTAGGGGATTGGCATAAGGGATGTGCTCGTTGTAGAACGTCGTCCAGTCTTCAGCACTGCTTCCCAAATGAATCCCTCGACGAGGAAGTTCGCCTAACAAAGTACGTAATACCAATGTCACATATATGCCCGTCTCTAAATAGCTAAGGGGCATGCACACTGTGATGCAAATTCATCAAATCGCCTTCATTTTTATCTAACGAGTGATCAAAAGCATCCAGAAGAGTCTAAACGATCGAAGCAGAAGAGCGGGACACTATGAGCATCCTTAAAGACCCCAAAATAGGAGAGCTGTGGAGCAGAATGATAACGAATTCATGAAAACATGCTCTTTTGATTTCCCACAATTTTGTTACCATGCTAATAGCATGGAGATATGCCATTTCCAAATTAGCGCACCGGATTACGTCTTTGAAAAATGCAACATGTTGTACTTTTTTGATGAAGTGGATTCAAAATTCTTTGACCCCCTCTAAATCGAACTTGAAACGGACACGGTGATGGTCTCATTCGATTAATCGTATTTTTCTTCTACATCGTTCCGCGGTCCATTTGACTGCTCATGACCAGTGTTTTCCTCCAGAGAAAATCCAAAAAGAAACCAAGCTCATGCCGTGGAAACTACTTTGCAATGCAAGAGAGGCAATTCCCCACAAACTTGGAGGTGGACTCACATCGACATGGTTAGTGATAGCCGTTTGGAGGATGAGTTCGACATTGGCGTAGTTGTTGACGTTTGATCCACCGGGTACCATGACCATCTTATTGGCCATCTTGATATACTCCGCACTGGCATGAACATCTTCGGGCGAGGCCATGCAGACGAAGAAGAAGGCTTCTGCATTGCGGAAGGTCATATAGGCCCAGCTGCGAATGGAGCGCATGCACTTCACTGCGGCAATACCGTTGTTTGCCACTAGGATCTGTGAAGACAGGCGGATTACATATAAGCTGTCAATTTAACCATGGAATCCTTTTTTAAGCTCTACACTTTTGATTACTTGGCTGGTTTCAGTCTCACACGACTCGACAACATAGAGCTCAGCCAATAATCCCCTAAACCCTGCAGGCTCGTAGGGTTCATAACGTTTTCCGAGATAACAGTGAAAAATTACCAAACTGGCCCCTTCCCGCTGGAGGTGCATGATTAAACAACCAAGAGACTACTCTCAAAGGTCTTCCATATCTCCAAACATAGACGCGGATCGATAGAGGGTAAAGGGGATAGCGACTACGTCGATTTTCCGACCATTTAAGCGTCGCGGTTTCGTGTATGCACATGGTGTATTATTTCATTAGCATCAAAAATGAACAACAAGGAATCTCATAACTGCCACTTTCCAAACGTTCCACCCAATTTTAAAGTCCAAAGTGTAACTCATTAAGGCTGAACCACAAACGGAAGCAGCTTAAAGCATCACCCCATCTAAAAAATCACACAAAAACAAATCTACACGAAGATAAAAGCCTTCAGTAGCCAAAAGGAAACAATTCAGTAGGAAATCCAGGACAGTTATTTGAGGCAACAGAAAAAAACAGTGAAAGCAAGGGCAACTGTGAAGACAACTAATATACCTTCGTCAGAACTGGAATTGACTTTGCATTCAATAAACAGGAAAGACCTAGGTGGCCTCAATAAAATTTCTCACAGTCAAAGCCTAAATTTCAAAGTGGTTTCTTGGTAAGTCGAAAATTACAAACGAGATTGTTTCAATGCACCATGCTTTACAATGTGGCGCCAAAAATGGACTTAAGCAGCCAAAAGTTTACGATTTAGTGGATTGACTAAGGGGGCGATTTGAAAGAATAATCTGATGCTACGAATAAGTCAATCAAGTGACAAAGGAACAAGGACTCAAACAGACCTAAAATGCTCTTTTTCCGCATACTTTCGACAACTTCTCTCATCTCTTCTACAACTAATTTGATGAATTTGAGAGCTAGTTGATACCACAAATGGAAACACCTCAAAACACCATTACAACTGGCAGATGAATAAGAAATGTTTTAAAATAGAGAACCCCTATTTTTAACATCCAACTAATCAACAGGATAACCAAGACGACTATTTGGGAGCATACTGCGAAATTTCGAACTAAGAAACGTAAAAACAACATAAATCCAGGCATAACTAGAATGGCCATTTCCTTCAACTAGAATTACATAATTAAACAACTACGCATCGTGTAGCCTCACGTTCTCACACACCACGTGGTTGAATTTTGGAACGGTCACATTACGATTTCAAAGCTTCGCTCATTTGGCTTGAGCTGCAGACAGAAACACGATGAAGTGAAGCACACCAAACACGAGACTACTTGCAAGTCAACGGATCCAGGAGTGAACTGAGACGATCAGTCCTGAATAGTGAGCAATCATCGAAATGAGATGAACTGTAAAAAAAATAGACGCGAAACCCGTTAAAAGGAATGGCTTTTCTACTAGAGGTTCTATCTCACTTTAACTATTGGCTTAGACGTAACACAAGTAAAAATTGTAATGCGTCAGAACACACACGAATAAGTCCGCTTGAAAATAAGAATAGTGGGTGCATAGTCGGAAAGTCGAATCCATGTGAAAATGAAACAATCTTTACGGACCAAGGACAGCACAATAACGGAACTCGACTGTGAGTCAAGCCAATTTTGAGTATCTCACTTTATAAGTTCTAAGTAAAGTTTATGGGCGCGTGAGCACAAAGGAAAACACCGCACTACATCATGACATTCAGCTAAGTACTTACGAACCAACCTCCAGTAGCCAAAAAATCTATGCCTCTGGATGCAGATTAATGCACTTATTTAAGTGAATAATGCCGAAATTCTGGAATTGATAAAAGTGGGGGGAATAGACGGAAATCCGAAGAAAACTAGCGAGATTGCATAATTAAACAGGTACGCCTGAGTAATGGAAGCAAAACCAGAAACGAGATCAAATCATTTACGCGACTACCTTGAAATGCTTAAAATTGGACAACTTTACGAGGAAATCAAGCTAGTCGTTTAAAAGAGTAGCAAAACAATCACTATTAATGATAAACTAAACAAGTGATTGAAATGCCGTCTGATCTGGCGTCTGCCACATGCGTAATCACCATTAAAACACGATGATAAAATTCTCAGTGCTTCACCCATAAGGAAGTGGTCAGGTAGTCACAAACTGCAAACACACACTGGGGACTCTCCTTCTTATATGCGTTCAGTGTTCTGAGAAGAGTTTTACAGTAAAAAAGAGGGCGCGAAAACAACGGGTCTCACAAACGGTACGAAGCGGCAAAATTGAGACGTAACGCAATGGGGACGCTTGAATAAAAGTCGAAAAATTTAAGGCACACTCACGAGCAGTTTATACGAGATCCAGCGATCCACTTGCAGAATTAGTCATTTCGTCATAATTGCCAACTAGAAGAATGGTATGGCATTACAACTGCGCTTTTTGTGCCCACTTTACTACTGAATGGAGCATCCACGAATATACTTGAAACATCGGTCGCAAGTGTAAAATAATCGTTACTGCCATCTCAGAAGAGACTCGACCACCGCAGCTCAGATTTTTTTGCACTGGTATGACTTCATTTGCCCGTATTGTTTATTCCTTTAATTTACCGTGCCATATATGTGAGGTGAGAGCTCACGTTGGGAAGTTAGTATCATGACGCTGGTGGAAATGTGTTAATACAGTTTGCAAGTCCACGATCTACCAAAAGAGCGGGAGGCCAAAACACACCCGTTTGATGCATCGCTGTCCATGGTGGGCACGAACGAACTCTTCCGGGGAGAGGAAAGACATCTTCCGATTCGCTTGGCTTTGTGGTTCGCTGTTAGAGAAGAGACAAAGTGTCACTGTATCAGGGCGCGTCACAGACAAAAAACACTTTACTCAAACCTCAAGGTTTATAAATCAACAGTGCGGCTTGATACGGACTTCCTTACAAATAAGCACCGACATCACAATAAAAAGGAATTGTACATTAAAAATGTGTTTCATTCAACCATCACTATGAAGAAAGACTGATTTTTTGGAGTGAGATAACCACCAAACTGGAGAAATGCTAAAGAGGTGTCAAATCGAACTAATGCGAATACGAAGTACAATTTGCTAGAAATAGCCTGTTGTAAATTTTCGTTTTTCATGAAGTACTGGTATTTTGGATTGATAGAGGTAGTACAATTATTTTTGTTTTGGATAAACCTTATTTATACAGAGCTCAGAAACGGCAAGACTGACACCAGTTTGATACGAATGCCTCGAACATAAAAGTCATGTCAAGCTTAAAAACAAAACTATTTACGAGGAAAAAACATACATATGCATATTTAAGGTAAGATTTCTAGCCTGCAATTGATTGATCAACACCGAGAAGAAACATGTATAAGCACGAACATGAAAGGTAATTTTTCTTAACATAATTATATCATGTGCCGCACGTAACATAAGGATAAATGTGAAAAATGTGCACTAACGGATCGGTTTTCGGGGAGGACGCTTCCGAAGCTGGTAGGTTGTCGTCTATCGTCTTTTTGGCACCAGACTTTTTATTTGCACGGTTTCTCATCTAAAAAGCAGAGAACGATTCACCGTTTTAACAACAGCACAGAAAATAATTTGTGCAGTGTATTAGTCAGGCTTTTTGTCGGTTAGTAAACAGAATTAAAATATGACGGATGAAACTGAAAGGCTTGTAAGATGAAATTATTAAACCTGCTAAACTGGGAACCAAATTATTCTATTTACTACTTGGGTCAATGGTATTAGAGACTTACTTCAGCGACAGCCCAAATTGAGTGATAAGGATGGGTCAAAAAAGTTAAAACCTAACAATAATGAAACCGACGAATTATGACAGAATAAAGTGGGACTTGCACCAATTACGCTGAGAACGATTCCAGGTGTGACCAGTCACAAAATAACCCATCTACAGCATCTAGTCGACAACAAACTATGCCACAAATACTCACCTAGAGGGGAAACCCATTAGCACCTGCATGACGGAAGCACTCAACACGACTTAGCTACTAATCATTTTCAAGTCATTGATAGACAAATGCACAATTCAAATTCATGACACATTAAAATGAGGTATATTTAGGCGAAAAAACTTGGTCTAACCAACTAAAATTTCATTTACAGATATGAGTGGTGGGGAATGAAATCCACTACGGAAGCCGTGGTCGGGGGAGCAGATGTGGTACTTACGAAAAGCCCGCTCAAGTACAACCTACACAAGGTTAAAATGGTGCATCATACCTAGCTGCTTGGCCAAATGCATACTTATAAAATTTTATTCACAGAGGTACGTTCTACTACTGCCCAAAAAACGACGAATATCTAAGTCAGCCTCTACAACCCATAACATGAGAACACGTTATTAAGATCTAGGACGAATTTTTGAGACCAGCAATGGCCATCAAGGGACAAAAAATTATTAACATATGCTATTGCCAGTCGACGGGAATCGTCCCTTAAAGAGAAGCAGTACTGAGGAAAAGTATATAAAATTGCGATTTTGCTGAATTGAGGTACAAATTATTTTGGTGCTAAGAAGGAATGGAATATCATAGCAAATATGAACTTGGAATTAATCTCTAACCATATTTAAACTTTAAACACACTTGTTTTTAGGCAAAAGTGCAAAGAGTTGCCACCAGAAAGATTACCAAATGCAAAAAAGGAGACCTGCAAGTGGTAAAAGATGCCCTATAAACTTTTGGGCGTTCCGATTGTACTAACAAAGGATTTAGTAAAAACTACAAAAGTCGCTTGTAATGTTAGCAGAGAACCAGTCTTGTGACTTTATTGGTTCTTTCGCAAACCGCATTACTAAATGGAAAATGTTATCTAGAGTAACTATGTAATACCACGTCGAGGGAGCGGGCCTTCGGGCCACGCCGGTAGCCCAAACAGCCTCTTTTGTCAATTGCATAATATTCTGCCAGAATATTGTGTCTTCTTTCGACTTCAGGGAAGTCTCAGAACCCTACAACTTAAACCATAACTCGATTCTTTGCCAAAATGTGCTCAGGTAGACAGTGTTGACTAAAACCGCTTTATAAGCATGGTAATAAGCCATTAAAGTTAAAGTTAAATGAGGCTAGAACAAACCGATGCCCTCTGACGACATGTGAAGTCGGTATATCATTTAGCTTATCTTCTTCACTGCTACTGCTCTTATTGTATTGGTGAAAAGCTTACTCTGACTTATTGTGTATTCAAAGTGCGTGGGTTTAAAAATATGTAGTTTTAGGGCAGCGACCGTTGGGCTAACATTTATTTGACTCAAGATACTTGTGGCAATCAGAACAAAACCCTGAATGTTTCATTACAGTAACGAGTTTGTTGCCTGCATAAAGGTCGGTCCTAGTAAGGATCTACTTTCTCTTGGCCACCGTACCTCGCCGGGTGGGTCGGCCTCCGGGCCATGCCATTGGGCCTAATACACTATGTATGTGGAATATATATATTTTGCCCTCCTACTACGTCTTCTCCTGTCTTTAGAGAAGTATCAGAGCGCCGCAATTAGCATTTGTGCTGCTACATAAATTTGGCACCTGAAAAGTTTTTAGCATTGGGTAATCAAAACAGGCCAACATACAGGAAAGCATAAATCGTTTCTTTTCACAGTAAATAGACGACAAAAGTGAAAATAGTTAGTACAAATTTACACTTCTCTAAATTTTAACTTGGCTGTGGTATAGGGTTTGCTTTTCTGTCAAAAGTAATGTTTGTCATTTATGTATCTCAACAAAAGTAGCCTCATTCGTAACTAGTTATAATAACCAAGCTACTTTAACCTACTTTAGCTCTTGCCCTTAATTCTAAATTGGACATATTTTAAATGTACTGCTGTGATTGCAATGCATGCCTTTAGCCTTTAAGGTGTTTGTCGCACCTAGCTATGGGTTGTCATTTGCGCGGCGGGCGTAGTCGGCGTCTGTGTTTCAACTATTAAGATATGTTAGTCATTTTGGGTTTCACTCTAGAGTGCGCATTACGTTTTACTGTTACTATCGTTACTAAGACTCTAACAACAGGCTTAAAGCTGTCTTTAAACTGTCCCATTTTCTTGGTCTTTTGAGACTGCATGAGTTGCATCTTTTGCCTGCATTGTTCTCTCTATTTTTTTTTGTTTTCTGACCAATTTTTCTAAGTGGGTCTGTTTTCTGTAGTTAGTGGTTTTGGAGTCTACAACCACTTATCATTTAATGATTTTCCTTTGGTTGTCTGCATTTTTAGTTTGTGCATCTACGTCGACCTTATCTATCCCCCAAAGGCAGCTAATGACAACTCAAGATAACCTTCCGCCCTCTTACATGACCTGGTCCAATGCCCAGCTCGTCTCTTGGGCTGAGGGTGTGGGCCCCTTTTTCCAGCCTTACCTCGCCGCCCTTCGTGCCTCCAACGTGCGTGGGCAGTGGCTCTCTTGTCTCACTGACTTCGACCTCCAATCCCTCGGTGTCACCAAAATTGGTGATCGTCGGTGCATTCAAACCAGTGTGTCTCGTCTCATAGAGGACTACGCTGGCCTGGAAGCAGAGAATATGCAGAGCCTTCTCTTCAGCGTTGTCTGTGTTACTGGCCAATTGGCCGCTCTTTTGAAACGCGCTCGCCTTCAGGAAGCCCTTACTCAAGCCGCTGGCGAATTGGAGCACCAGTTGGTCAAGTGTCTCTTCCGCCTTGGTTTGGTGGTAAAGAAGGCGGCTTCCTGGCTTGAACGAGGTCCCTTTTCGCTCATCTCGAGGCTAGCTGCGCTTCGTGGAGTCATGTTGCAGCATACAGTGGACTTAAACACTGTTTTTCAATCAGCGTTGAAAAACTCAAGTCTTTTAACCTACGTAAACGCAATGCTAGAGCTGACGCGGGGGCTAAGAGATCAACTGGAGGTGGTGATCCATGATTGTGATGACTCTCTTCTGCTCACTCCTTGCATAGTTGAACGTGTCTCTCTGCGAAAGGGTGAACGGGAACGTTATGTGGGTGTCTAGTTTTGTTCTTGCATTTATTTCATTTAGGGATTTACATTCTGCACGAATGATTGTAATGTTCACATAATCCAATCATTGGACTCGGATGTGAGTGTTTTTTCAGATACGTTGCCGTAAATGCCTAGATATGTTTTTGAGGTTGCTTGTTTCTTTCGTAGCTGCAAGCGCCGGCCTTTTCTTGTGGGCGAATAGCGAGGGACGATGAGATAATTGAAGTCAATCATCAACTTGTAGTAAGTGTTCACCTAATCCAAAATTTTTCGGAGGAAAAATTGATTTCTCTGTTCATATGAGTACTTCATTGTAATTTTGATGATTTCTCTTTAAATTATGGATTGACTCGAACTATCAGACATCGCACTGACCTAATATATGTAGCTAATGTCTCTTTCTAATAGCCTCATTATTGCCTCAAGGTGTTCATTTCTCTGAATGTGAAATGTGACCTTTTTACACGTTTGGGTGTAGGCATCTCATGAGTAATGTTAGGACTTCAAAAAAGTTTTATCACAAAAGCATAAATTAACATTAACGAAGATTCACTTTCAAAAATACCTACAGTTTTTTAATACTTTTGAAAATGGAGCGAGAATTTCGACCAAAGATGTCAAGTGGCAAACAAATTCCAGCGCATTTTTCCCATTCCCAACATCTAGTTACTTTAATCAGCCGTGTCCACTCCGTTACAGCTGCAATTTCATCTCACTCCACACAGCTTGGCCGGGAGTAAAGCATCATCGTAGTGATCAAAAAGGCAATTTAATTGCTCCATTACTTCGTTGATTTATCTCCCGTCTCCCTTCTATCGTCTCCATGCAGCTGGAATGGGAGCACAGTGCTGTGGCGCGATTGATTCAGCAGAGTAATCGCCGCCTCGACCTGCGAGTGCGTAAGCGTCCCGCTCACTGCACCGACTACTCGGTCAACTCTAGACGCCAGCGTATGCAGCTTATGGCCAGGGTGCTACGACCTTTCATCGCCGAACCGCAGCACTCCAGGCGAGTTTTTTTTTGGTTTCACCAGCTGCGAATCTTGGCACTTCTTGCTATTCGTTTTTACTAACGTCATATTCAGGCCCTGCCGATGAAATAGAGGAAAGCAGTCTGCACAGTTTATTGCTTCTTTGCGGCGAAACGGTGCATTTGCTATTGGCTATTTTTTGGTCGTCTGTTACTACGCGCCTGCGAATGTGATGTCTGTAGAAACCCAGTATTGTGATTATTTTTATTTGATTTAGCCGCAAACTCACTGGGGTCATTCTGAGATGGTGTACTCACAATTGCCTAAAAAGAACATTATTTATGATAGACTATAGATGTCGTTCACATGCCTTATCCTCTTCTATCACAATTTTTTCTGCCACTATTTCTTTTGCGTGTAGACGTTCAGACTTTTTGCGTAATCGCGCACCCAAACGACGGACGCAACTGCTCTCGAACTCAGCAAATACCCCCGCTACCTCCACCGCCACCATCACTGCTAATGTCTCCCACGAAGAGGAGAAGGAGGAGGAGGTAGAAATCGCGCAGGCAGCGGTGTCGGTGAAGACACTGGCAAATGTGGAGTCGGAATCCACCACCGCAGAGAACCGTCTTAAAGCCCCCATTTCCCTATCAAGGTCGCACAGTCGTCCCCGTCAAGAGCGTTACTCTCAAGCTCTCCAACCGCCCCTCCTCCTCTCAGCTTCCGCACGCGATCACACTGAGATGTCTGAACCACCTCCATCGCCATTAACGAACGAATCCGATTTTCGCACACAGATCGGGTCCCCATTTGAGATCGCTACCACACCTCCGCATACAAACAAGCGACGCCCCGTCACTCTGGGTTCACTAGACGATTTTTCGGCTGAATCCGGTGCTGCCGCATCCGCCTCTTCTACACCACCCTCTAGTATGAGTCTCACCAGACCTAAAAACAGCTGCCAGGGCTGGCTATGGCTTAAAAAGCGCACCTCCACGTCTTTTGGAAATCGCTACGTCAAGCGGTGGTGTGTGTTTAAGCACAACGCTCTCTACTACTATCGCAACCAGGAAGAGGAGAATGCGGAGGGTCTCATCCTTCTGCATGGGTTCACAATCTCGCCGGTGGCAACTGATGGTGGGCGATCGGGGAGGTACCCATTTCGAGTGTACAACGAATGGACCCAGTTTGTGTTTGCTGCAGATAGTGAGGTTGCTCGTACCCGGTGGATGAATATGCTCGGTCTGGCGGCGATAGGTCAGTCGGCGTGCCTGTGGACATCGCCTATTGGCGGATTTTATCCCGGCTACCTACCCGCGCTATTGGGAACTGCGACAGAAGTTGAGAAGGAAGTGATAGAAGTGAATCCAAGATTGTTGGAGCCGCCGAGGGCGCACACTTCGGGTGGAGAAAACTCGTCACGTAGGCAACCCGTGGTGAGTTGGGGTGTGGTGTATGCTGGATCTTGACATTCTATTTTGAGCTTTTTATGTACTGAAAAAAAAGAGGTTTATCGTCATGTTCTTGTTTAGAATTCTCTTGTTTTTTAGGCTCACAAAAATGAATCTATGGTCCTCAATCAGGAAAAGTGTGCATTTAATATTTTAATGACATTGAACGCCGTGTTATCAACTTTATTTAGTCTCATGAACATGTTTCATTGCCGACTATAGACCATCCACCGGTGCTCTTCAAGCCTAAACTTCCCCTCGTCTTCGGGATTGCAACAGACACCACTTGACACCAGTCCACTATCGAGTTATCGCAGTCAATCCGGTCCACACCACCATCACAAGCAACAGCCCCATCGCCACTTCCTTTCCGTTAGCGCCTCTTGTCTGGTCAGCGATGCAACTGATGACGAAGCAGAAAATACCAAAAAACGATCGGAGAATGTAGACGAAGAAGCGGAGACGAGCGCCTCACAAGCGAACCAGTCACCGTGTCGCTTGACACGCTGCGCTGCTATGATTCGTCGTCGACGGGTGCGCCGCCTCACTGAGGGCTCTATTTCGCCCTCAGTGTTCCTCACCTCCCCACCGATAACGATACGACCACACCACTCGTCCGGGTGGATGTCTCTCTCCTCCGAGACCGTAGTTATGGCCTCAGGGTTTCTGGGACAACAGCAGCCACAGAATCAGGATCAGCAGCGTTTGCATTCCATGGGCACCAGCAGTGGAGGAGACGAGGGCGAGGGTGGTAGTGAAGGTGGTAGTCTGCTGTTTCTGCGGAATCCCAATCTTCTCTCACCGACGTGCTCTCTGTCAAGTAGATCCTCCGAATCCCCTGAACAGGTCCCCTCATCGTGACGTTGTTCAGTTCTATGGTAATAGTGATGTCGTTCTAAGCAATAAGTGTGGGTCTGCTTGATGTTATTGGTGTCCTGATTAGAAAATATAATATATCCCGATGCCTAAAGGGGGAGGAATGATGTGGTTTGCTATGGCAAAAGTGGTAATCGAACGCGGCGAACGGTTGTCTTGCTTGTGTGTTGGTTGGATGTTTATGGATTATCGTAATTTGTTGAATGTGGTTATTCGAACCTTTAGTGATATGCGAAAGCAGTGGGGGACCATTGGGGGTCGTGGGTAGATAGTTGAAGGGAAATATATAGGATACGAGACCAGGATTTTTGAATGCATGAATTCGCAAGGAATTCCACCATGGGTTAAGTCCTCTCTCCTGTTTTCCAGCTAGGAGAAGGTAACACACCACGCGGGATGTTGTGCGCCCCATCGAGGATTATCGCCTCAACAATTTCGCATCTCATTCGCATATTCGATGTTGTTCAGTGCGCGTCTGGATGTATGCTAGTTTGGTAGATTAACCTTCACAATTAAAGGATAACAAAACAAGGAATTAAGGATATCAAATCATCGCGGTTATGCAACACATGTTTGTTTGATTAGACCGTTTGGGTGACAAGCAGTCAGATTATATCAGCCTTATAGATGAGCAGATGTATCCGATTCTTAAGG